GAGGCTCTGAGGGTTTTTCCTGAGAGGCTGTTTTGTTTGGCATGTGTGGTTCTAAAAATAAAGTTAGTTTCTTTTGACAAGTGGCTCCTGATTGTGCCCAGCCAGACTGCGGCAAAAGAGAATTATTATTCTTAAAAAATATGGCCCCTTTTATTGATTAGGTTATTTGTTTTTTTTTTTTTTTTTTGGTGTTTTTTGAATTCTTTATATATCCTAGAGATTAATGCTTTATCAGAGGTATGTGGTAAAGATTGTTTCCAATCTATAGGCTCTCTCCTCATATTATTGTTTTCTTTGCTGAAAATAAGCTTTTTAATTTGAATCCATCCCATTTATTGATCCTTGATTTTACTTGCACTTTAAGGGTCTTGTTAAGGAAGTTAGATCCTAGGCCTACATGGTGAAGATTTGGGCCTACTTTTTCTTCTGTTAGGCGCAGAGTCTCTGTTCTAGTGCCTAAATGAAATAAGTCAATCCCCCAAAAACCAAAGGCCAAATGTTTTCTCCAATATGTGGATAATAATTCACAATAAGGGGGGCACCAGAGAAGAGAGTTACTTTAGATTAGGGAAGTGAAGGGAGGGGATGTGGGGATAGGAAGGATAGTAGAATGAAACAGACATTATTACTGTGTGTGTGTATATCTATCTATCTATCTATCTGCATGACCAATGTGATTCTGCAACATGTACACTCAGAAAAATGAGAAATTATATCCCTTCTATGTATGATATATCAAAGTACATAAATGCATTCTACTGTCATGTATAAGTAATTAAAACAAATTTAAAAATTAAAAAAATGGCCCCTAAAAAGAGCTGGAAAATGTATCTCTAGTTGACAAGGGAGAATGTAAAATCTTCTATTTTACATTTTTCTAATTCTCCTCTGTAAAAGAATAAAAACATCCTAGAGTGTCACAGTACAGGTTAGTTAGAGAAACCTTACTCTCTGTCTGCCTATGTTTTAGTGTGGGCATTGTTACAGGGAAATACAACCTATATCATTTGCCATATTCACCATGTATATATTTTGAGTCATATTTGTTGACAAGAAGGTAATTACACGTTTTCTTTTTAACCATCATTTCCTCAATAAAAGTTGGTTAGGTGTGTGGGATTCTGCACTGATGGTGTGCATTTGTTTTACATGAGCCTGTGTCCCTCAAACAGCTCATCAGCCATGCAAGAAATGGATTCATCTCACAGGATTTAATCTGCCCTTCAGTGAGATATTTCATTTCCATAGTGGGGATCTAGCTCGGTTATACAGTATCTGCCCTGGCAATGGCAGCCTAGAAACGGGGTAGAATGCCGCCTACCCTGGGCAGAGCTCTGGGGCACCAGGGCACAGAGAGATGTTAATTATTTACAGTGGTGGATTAGCAAAGCTGCAGAGGAGCTTATGGGCCACTGACTACTGGAGTTAATTGCTTTTCCATCTGAAGTACACACAGATGATGTGTTTATTTGAGGACCTGAAAATATGCTGGTTAAATTACACATTTCTTGGTGAATAAAAAGGATTTATAATGCAGAATAACAATTCAATTTGATCTAAATAAGTCAAATATTATTAGAATGATTCATTTATTAAATAGCATTTTAATTTCTGCAAAACAGAAAGCTACTCTTCAGATTTTAAATAGTGTCCAATATTTGTGGTCTCAGGATGATCAAAAGCTAATATTAAGCCAGACATGCACAGTTGCTGCTTAAGTCACATTTAAGAGTGGGAGACATTCCCATAATTAATAGTAACCAAAATGTTAAAATCAGAGATTATTACATGGGGCAGAGGAAACACTGGTGGATGTGTCCTTGTGCCTGAGACCAAGCAGAGGAGACAACATTCATTAAGTGCCAACAATGCTCAGGTACTTCACATTGTTTTTGTGAGTTGGGGTAAGTATTATCACCACTCCCATTTTATAGATGAGGTAGCCAAGACTTAGAGGATAGTGCAGCTTGCCCAGGGCATGAAGCTAGGCTCTGGACTCTGGCCTCTAAAGCTCCCCCTCTTTTTACTACCCTGTAGGCCAGAACAAAGAACCTATGAACAGAAAAAGAAGATCAGATTGACCCAAAGTACAGCTTGGAAGGAATGGGCAACAGGGGACAGGGCAGAGCCATGGGAATAGGAAGATACACCAGTTAACTCTGTTTTCATTCATGCCCATATTCCTACATCTTCCATTTTAGGTGGTTTGTTTCTTAGCTTGAGCATCAACCATGAGATATAGCACGTCTGCCAAACAGCAGGTCTGCACCAGAGAAAAGGACATCATCCCATGGCAGTTGTGTGAGTTTGCTCAAATTCCAAAGCCTTGGAGTCAAAGGGAATAACTAGAAAATCATTAAACCATATCTGACCACCTGAGACACATCCTGCACGACCTCTGCCCTTTCCTCTCTCCTTCTGTTGATACAGATCGGCATTGAGGGATGAAGTCTCTCCCTTGTTTCTCCCTCTTTCTTCCCCAGCAAATCTTTTGTGCATCTAATTCTGCTTGGTGTTTGCCTCTTGTTACGACTTCAACTCCCAGGAACACTGTCCCAGCCATAAGTCATTATGTAATCTAGCATTTTGGAAGAAGGGAGCTTTGAGTGTCTGGTGGTCTTCAGCTGGTTTTTTGGACATATGTGACTCCATCTTTATCCCAGGTGGTACTGGACACACCTAGGGGCTCTTTACAGAAGGTTGAGATATCTGATGAGCAGTTGGAACAAGAATTCACAAATCTTGGGTTCTGGCTGCTAATGAGACCCTATTGGTGGCCACAGGATAGGGACATGATAGGACTTGGAAAAATTGAGTTTCCAAACACAGAATGAAAATATATTAAACTGATAGTAGTTGTAGTTATTAACATGATGAATCCCATGTTTAGTCTCTATAGCATAAATGTTATAATCATTTTGTATTTGTAAATTAGGGGAAATAGCAAAATATTACTTATGGCTTACTAAATACTAGTCACTATACAAAGTTTTTTTTTTTTTTTGTACCAGAATTGAATTCAGGGGCACTCAACCACTGAACCACATCCCCAGCCCTATTTTGTATTTTATTTAGAGCCAGGATCTCACTGAGTTGCTTAGAGCCTTGCTTTTGCTGAGGCGGGCTTTGAACTAGTGATCCTCCTATCTCAGCCTCCCGAGCTGCTGGGATTATGGGCATGCACCACTGAAGTTCTTGATAACCAAGGCAGACACTTATTCAATATTCATTATTTACCCCACCTTCTATGCTAATAAAATCCTGATTTTGAGAAAACAAAGTGCTTAGCCCTCGGTAGTGGTTTATGTCACATACCCATGACACTCCTGTTCTCTGTAGTCTAAGCATTTTTGCACTGAGGGATGGAGGACTGGATTATGGAATACACTTCCAGAAGATTATAGGTGAAATTCCTCACTTCCTTCAGGTCTTTGCTCAGATCAGCTTCACTGGTCACCAGTTTAAAAGTGTAGAGCCTGGCACACAGTAAAAACTTAATACTTTTTTTTTTTTTTTTTTAGTGAGTGCATGAAAATAAAACAAGGACTATCTCTGGAGAAGGTTCAGTACAAAGGCCTTGGGTTTGGAACATGCCTCACACATTTAGTGAATAGGAGGTCAACATGACTGGGGTGGGTGTCATGGAGGAGAGAATGAGTGATAAGACCAGGTGACATTGAAGCACACGGAGGCTTGCAGACACGGTAACAACTTGAGCTAGGAAGCTGTGGGAAGAATGATAGCACCTGACTTTCATTTAAAAATAGCAGTCTAGCTGTCATAGAGAGAGAAGGGAGGTGGAGGACACAGAAGCAGAGAGAATCAGAGGTGACGGCAAACTCCAGCCTGGTGATTATGGTTGCTTGGACCATGGTGAAGCCGTGAGGGAGGAGGGACAAGATAAGGTTCTGGCTGTATATGAAGGTGTACTCCACTGGATTTGTTAGCAGATGGATGTGGACTGTGAGAGAGAGAGGGTGAAGGATGACCCCGAGCTTTTTGGCTCTAGCATCCAGAAGCGTGGTGGCTGAAAGGATTGTCAGGAATGGGTTTTGGAGGGAAGTAAGGTCAGGCACTCAGTTTTGGGCATGTTGAAGTTTGAAATGACTATTACCTCCAAGTGGAGATAGAGGGTCAAATGGCTCCATGGCTCTTGGTTTTATGGGAGAAGTTCAGGTAGTTTTTAAAACCATGAGACCTGGTGAATTCAACCCAAGATCCAAGTGCAGAAAAAAGTAAGACAATTCTAATAGGAATTCATCCTAATAGAAGCAGAAATCAAAATTTGCGCCTACTGATCACATTGCTTTTGTTCATCTCTCCAAAAAGAGCTTCCCCTGTAAGACTGCACAAATTATAGGGCCATGTGCTAAACACAGTTCTAACAAATAAAATCTAGAGATAAACACATTTTTAAAAAAATAACAGATGGAGTCTGAGTTGGGTTTATCTAAGGTTAATTTAACCATAGAAGATCAATAATTGACTAAAAGAAAGTATGATGCCAAGTAGATATAGAAAAACCTTTGATAAGGTTTAAGATCCATTCATGAAAAACAATAAAAACGTAGGTGGCAGAGAAAGAAGACAAGTTCCTTTATCTAACGAAGGTCATCTAAAATAATCCTATACCAATCATTACACATGGTGAAAAGCTAAAAACTTTCCTCTGAGTTGTGACCAGAACCCGGTACCCACTGTCTTTGTCGTCCTGTTGGTGTGGTGCTGGGGGTTTAGCACCCAGGCACAAGGAGGAAATGATAACATGTGAAATTGAGCTGCCACAGAATATGACACTGGGCTGTAAAGGGAAGTGGATTATAGATTGTGGGGAATTAATAAAAGGGCTAGGCAGGAAGGTGCCAGTCAGCTTTATTTTTAGGAAGATAAGGAATGGATTTGAGCCGGGAGGGTCTCCTGGCAGGAAAATGACATTTTTTTTTTTTGGTTGTTGTTGAAAACTCTTATATGCAGGTACAAAATTCAGTGCACACTCAGTACAAAACTTAAACATATTTTATTGTTATAATCCAAATACTTTAATAGAAATGAAATAAAAGCCTATAAGTAAAACTATATATGTTCAATTTGTTAGTTCATCTTATACAAAATAACAAATAAAACAAGACCCACAGAGACCCCCCCAAGTACCCCTTCAGATGCTTTCCTATATGATGTCTATGTATGGCACCTTCTCTGTCTCTTTGGCTAGGCCAAGATTGATGAGGACGCTCTTTTCCAGCTCCAAATAAGCCTCGTATTCCAATTTCAGTTCAGCCTCCGCTTGTTCTTTTGACATCTGATATATTTTCTAGGAGGAAAAAGAGCAAGACATCTCTAGAAATTGCTAATAGATAAAAACATCAAAGAATTAGAAGAAGCTGTTTTTGAATAGTTGGCGTGACTGGGCTCTCCAGAAGGGGCCGGGGAGGGTGGGAGGGCTAGAGGGCAGTCCATGTGCAGGAGTGGGGAAATGGGGAGAAGTGAAGGCCTGGCTCTCTCCAGTGCTTCTCTCCAAAAATAAAAGAAAGTCCTCTTTCCCATAACTCTTTCCTGGCTCTCATGGCCTGGAGGGAGAGTAACTTGACTACAGGTTGCAGAATCCTTTTGAAGTTCTCCCTCCCCTCAATCCCAGAGAAAAGGCATAGCTTGTGGATCACATGGCAACTACTCCTTTACCCAACTCTGGTTCTCCAGCTGAAATTTCAATTAGAAAGATTCCCATTTCATATGCTGTTAGAGCTGTAATTATTATTATCCTTTGAGAAGTGAGCTGTGTCCAGACTCGATGGTGGCAAAGAGATGCTGTATCATTTCCCTGGGGTCTGTGGGTTGAAGCCTCATCCCTGGCATCCAGAGGGCATTCGTGAAGTCCAGCCAGGAAAGTAGGATCCTCCCCTGACCTCTGACTAGCACTTTCTAGGTACCAATCACTGTCTCAGTGCTGGAAATATGGAAATATTTTAATTCACTTAAATCCCCACTGCAATCCTCTGAGGTTCATATTGCTATTGTTCTCATTTCCTCCTTTCTAAGGGGATATTTCTAACTAACATTGTTTTTCCTTAGTGACTTTATTCATCGTCCAAATGTAACAGAAGAGCCCTTTGAAATTCATTCACTTATCCATGATCTAGTTCCAGAGAAAATTTGAGAAGTGGCAGCTCTACTTACAAGAAGATAATGTGTCAAATGGAAATGATGTTACAAGAAGTAGTTGGAAAGGTTTTGGAAACTTTAAAGTAACACAGTTTTAAGATATGACTATTGTAATATCCACTCATTTAAAAAATATTTCAAATGCAAGTTATTTTTTTGAATTTCCATAATTCTACTTTATTTTCACTGATGTCGGTAATTTGAAGTTGTTGCTATGATATATAAACACACATAAAAAATTTGGATAATTACTTGGGTAAGGGAAGGGTGGCAGATATATCCCACCACATAATTTCATTGAATGTTTTTAAGTGTGAAAAAGAAAAACCCAAAACCGTTTTTTTTTTTTTGGTAGCAATGGAACTCGATGAAGAGTTAATTAACTGGCATTAATGCATAATTTGTTAAAGTAAGCAATGTTTTTGAAATGAGTTCCTCTGCTTCTATTGCACTAATTAGTTATCTATCAGTAAGTGATATTATTAATCTATTGGCTAGTGCAGTATGTTACGATATTTCCACATGTTGATGCTTTTAACAGGGAACTCAGGTCTCACCTGAATAATTAAGGATGCTATGCATTTGGCTACAAGGAGACTACTGCTAGGACCAAACATAAAATTATTGGTGACAAAGGGCAAGGAATGGAATGAACCAAAGAGAAGTAAAAATCTCAAGGGAAAAGGAGAGAAGAGCTTAATTAACAGACTATTGAAAAGACCAAATTCCAGTGGATAAATGAAGATCAGAATTATAGAATTCATATAAAACAAAGAAAGGCTGAGAAAGAGGAGGGTGAGAGCTTGATTTAGAGTTCTAGGTTCCTTTTTGGTGGAATTAAAGATGGATGTGTCCTGTACCAAATTCTTCTCTATTTCAAGTGTCATACACAGCTCCAATATATTATATTATAGGAAAATCCACTCTCTCCTTATCTGTCATCTGCCATTATAGTTATTGTAGCTCTCATTTGAAGACAGTCTACTATTTGTCAGGTTATTTAACTGAAAGTCTTACAGTAATCATCAAAGGTAGTTACTAATATTTCTATCTTCCACACGAGACAACTGAAGCTCAGCAAATCAAAGAAAAGCCCTCTTGACTCTCATAACGAGAGAAGGCTGTGGAAATGAGGGGAAAAGCCAAATGCACATATTTCCATGGGTGTGAGGGGAAAACAACTTTCATTTCTACAATTTAACTTACAAATTTTTTCTTCTCCATTTCTAGTTCCATTTCTCTCTTTTCTTGCTCACGAATATTTTTGCGCTGTTCTACATATTCCAGATGCTTGACTTCTCTTTCGAAGTAGTGGTTAACACTTGCTATCTGTTAGAAACAATGGCTTGTGAGACAGTAACCCACAGGGAAGCTCTATGTTCTGTCCCAGACTCTTAGAATTCCTGCTGTTTGTAATGAGGCAGGCCACCTACCTGACCAACCTACTTAGTCCATCCTGACATTACCTAGTGACCATCTACCTAGTCATGAGAGAGATATCTACTTTGGGATGCTTCTAATCCTTGAGGTGAATGTAATTTGGAAATTGTACCCACCTGCCCACTTCCAGAGTAGCCAGCTTAATATGGGAGCAATTGTGCTTAGATTTAGGTCCTTGTGACTTGGAGGTTTCTAGGAAAGAAGTAGGTTGGAAGGAGAGGGCTGCAAATAACTGCTATTGCATAGTAGGAATATTTTTCCCTTTTTCTTCCTTGATTCGAGGGATATTTCATGTCATCAACTGAACTTAGAAAACCCAGATGAGGATATCAGTGGAGACCCTGAAGGGACTGAAGTAGAGCTGAACTAGTCCCCTGGAGGGCTTAATATGTGAAAATAAGAACAGAAGCTGAAAAGTCAGCAGAGTCCTCAGGAAGGCAACCTGAGTAGGACGAGGGAAAGTGTGTCACATGCCAGTAAGCAGGTTGTTGTTGGGATGTGCAGTGAATTACAATCTGTGCATTTAATGTTGGTTGTGTATATACTTATGCATCTCTATTCATTGATTTTCTTTTTATAACCTCATTATTAGCATTGCTTTAAACACTTGGGTAGTGTGTACCAGGTTTCGGGGAGGGGTGCAGAATATTGACAGTTCAGATATGAGGCCTGCAATATACTAAGGTGGGAGGAGGAGGGCAGAAAGATGCATAAAAATGTCACCTGGGTCCTAAGGAAAGAACTTCACTGAAATTGGGAGGCTAAAATTTAGTTACAATCTGAAAACATTACTATTTATGATTATGAATTCCCAAACTGATTTTTCTATGACTCTGGGCTTCATCTAATTGCCTTCTCTCCCATCTCGTGTTAGGTCTTTTTTTCTAGCTTCAAACTACTGAACTCATATTAAGAGAAATATATCTCCTTTTTTTTTTTTACTGCATTAGTTTTTTGTTTTCTCATAAAGCAAACATGCTGCCATTTTTAACACACTTTTAAGATATGCCTCAGCAATGTCTAGTCACACAAATCTTCAAAACTAAAAGTCACTAACCTCATTGATGGAAGGGTGACTTAATGTCCATGGAATTTCTAATATATGCAGTGTTCCATAATAGTCAGCTATGGCTATAAATTGTTGCTTAGCTGAAAGATTTAAAAGAGAGAGAAAATTCAGCAAATTCAGCTTCAGAGGCTAAATATGCAATGTGTTTTGTTTTGTGGTTTCCCAAGGGACGTGCTGTGGTTACAGTGATCTTGGCAGCTTCATCAGATGTTCATGACTGAAACATATAAACATGTAAAAGTCATTTTTTCCAGTTGATGAAATGAAAGCTAAGACTCTGAGTCTTCCTTGGCCTCCCGGTCACCTCAAACCTTGCTTTCCTGGCATCCGTATGAGGAGTATGGCTGATAGCCGGCTTCTTTGTGGCTGGGCTCATTGTCAGAATTGAGAAGAAAGTAAGGAGGGCACATGGAAAGATTTTCAAAGAAAAACCATGAAGCATATTTTCACCAAACACACTGAGGGCTAAAAGAATACCAGTTGAAATTCAAAGACATAGCCAGAACCACAGTCTTCATTACAAAACCGAATTGCTTACTTGAATCACTTAAAATGGGCAAAATACACTAAGTGAGAATTTTAATTTTCTATCTCATTATATATGTCAGTATACTTTCTTCTAATTTTCAGAAGTTCTGGTTCAAAAGGTTGAATCCCAGACTCATGATCCCTGCAAGTACAAAAACAATATTTTGTATCAAAGATAGGGAAACATACATCGGTGACACGTATAGCTATGCAGTACCCAGATTGTGATATGCTACAGATGCTGATGACAAAAGTTTCTGAATCTAATGTTTCTGAGAGAAATGGATCGACAACTTCTTGCCTGTACACCTTTGGAAACAAAAGGGAACTTCTTTTAGAAAAAGGCAAATATGCTGGATTTACCCAGAAAGTACTATTTAAATGCAATAGAAAAATTGGGGAAAAGGAAATAAATTTGCTCTTTCATAGATACAGTCCTGGGTATATGCTTGTTTTGCTGCATATTACCTTTTCCTCATCCTTAATCAAAAGATTAAAGTTTAAATAGATATATAACCCTAGAGAATCATTTGATCTCATGAAGAGAACTGCTTGATAGGGCCCACAGGAAAAATCACAAAAGTGACATAATGTCACAAAATATAAATTATAATAAAAAAGAGACAAAAAATATTTTTATATGGAAAAGAAACAGCAAAAAGTAGCCAAACTTCAGGGATGACCCTGTCTGACCCCAAGAGGACAAGAAGGATGTTTCCCGTCATGCTTGACATGGTAAACGTGTATCAGAAATCATTGGCAACGAGGCCAAACAGTATGGGAGGCTCTGGGTGTTTCCAAGGTTTGAGAGCAGGAGGGAAGGGGAAGGATGAGGAAGGAGGGGAGAGAAAGGAAAGATGGAAGAAGAGAAGGAAAGAATGAAGAAGGACAAGAGAGAATGGGGTGGAAAGATAAACCAAAACCTGAGAGAAAACACTGGGATACTTTCCAAATGAATGTCAAAATGTTTCCCAGTTACCCAAAAGGTTATAGCTCACTTATTTAGAATTAACATACAGGAAAAGGTCCAGGGCTTGATGTTGGTGATCATAGTTATGCAAATATTCTGTGACAGAGCTGGTTCATGGGTTTTCTCCAGAAGGTCCCAGACATCGATGTATCCATCTTCTCGGCCAATATAGAAAACTCCAGGCCTTGTCAGGGACCAGTGTCCTGAGGTGTACCTTTTTGGTGAACAGCATGACTGAAGGAGAGGTCCATACTTCCGAGCAAAATTTTGAAAAGATAGGTTAAAAGCATTTGTTATTACTGGAGAGAAACTCAATGATTTTCTTAAAGTATAACTCAGCTGGCTATGATCGTTTAACAGCAAAATTATCCCACTGGAAAGTCTTACTTCTTTTTGTTGTGAGGGTTGAATACAAAAAATTTGTTTTCATAGGTCATTTTTTTTTCTTGTTTTAGTTGCTTTTAGACAAGATTGAACCTTCCAGTTGAGCTGTTGAGGGTCCTATCAATACCCGCCTATCAATACCAGATGTGAGACACATGTTGAAAGTCAAGAGCTGAGCTGGCAAATTCTAATTAATTAACTTCAGATGAGAGTATCTGATGGCTTACAAAAGTATTTGGAAGAGATTTTAGACCACTAATGCATCTTGATATTATGTCTTTTATCTATCTACCTTAGGATAATTTTCTGATTTGGGGAACTTTTCACAGAGATGATTGGAATATGTCTTCTACCAACTGCCAGGGTCCATCAACCAACCAGGTTGTCTATGGGCATCTGCAGGGACTAAGCTAAACCATCTGCCTCATACCCTCCAATACATGGGTAGGAACTTTTCCCATGGTAAAAGAAGGTATCATGGCTTCCTGGACTTCTTGCCCATGTCTCCCAGCTTCTTCAGTCTCTATGAGGGTCTTGGCCCACATGGTCTATGAACCATCTTGCCTGAATTTTCTTTTTTATTTCTTTAACTACAATGCTAGCTCATTGTAAAAAGAAATGTAAACATTCAGATGTAGATTGTTATAAAGTAGAAGTCATTTGTTGATGCATATTTAAGTAGTTTCCAATTTTTTTCAGTGATAAATTTGTACAAATGTTCACATACATTTCTCTATTACTTGTGTAAGTTAGAGTTTCAAAGGGGAAACCATTAGGGTCAAGAAATCTATATTCTACCTGGATCCAGCCCCTTTCCTAATCCTGACCAGACTCTTCCTCCTGCCTCCCTGTGACCCAAGCATGTCTCTGGCAGGTAATCATCTGCCCGGTGATGGACTTCTGAGCCTACTTATTCCCTCTTTCTGAAGCTTCCAGAAGAAAAGCTGGAGCAGAAGATGACAGACCCAGTGTTTCCCGATGGAATCCATCCAAGAATCAGCCTCCCATCTTGTATTTTAAAGGGAGGCAAAAACACCAGCCAAGCCAACCGCCTGTGGTGTGTATTTCCAAGAAAAGGATTCGGAGAACAAGGGACTTGCTTTGCTGTTTACTGCCCTCAGGAAAGAAAAGCAAATGGATGTTTTAAAAAGGCTTAAGGTGGTTCCGCTGACAAGCTGGAGCGCAGGCCACCTGCTCTAATTTTTCTAAAAAAGTACCCAAAGGCAGTTATGTCAGATCAGGCCATTGTTCCTACTGTCTTTCCCAAGAACAAAGGACCACACCCCGACTCTTCCATTTCACAGGCCACTTACCATAACACCTTCTTTCCAAATAGCCATGTTCCACCCACCAATGGTGAGGACAATGTCATTGTAAAAAGGTGATCTCTGGACAGTGTGGACAGCTCCATCATGGACAGTGTAGATGTTCACTGGTTTCTTTGCTGTTGGAGTGGAAAAGACCATTTTGGAGGTGAATGAATTTATAAGGGATAGCTCCTCATCTTTCTATGAAAAGGTCTGGAGAGTTTCCCACCAGGGCCATTTTTCAGACTCAGAGGAATACTTCGTCTTCTTATTCATTTACTCACTCATTAGTTCACTCAGGGAATCAATAAATATTATCTGTAGATTGCCTACATGTGCCAAGATGGATGGGTAAACAATGGCTAGTGAACAATGTGATCCTGCCCTCATGGAGCTTAAAAATCTAGTGGGAAAGACAGATGCTCAGTAAATAAATCCTAACATATAGAATTAAAATATGGTAAAGACTGTTATGAGAGAAAAAAATCTTACAAGAAAGTAACAAGGAACATTCATCATTTAGACTGATGGACAGAAAGCCTTCTCTGACGATAAAGTCATGGACACTGGAAGACATTGGTGTGGAGGAACATTCCAGAAAGAGGGAACAGCACACACCAAAGTCCTGAGGAGGAAAGTGTTTGATACCTTTGTACACCTGAGGAAATCAGCACCAGTGTCTGGTAATCACAACATGAGCCAGGAAAGGTCCACACCATGCAGGGCCTTGCAGGACAGTTTAGAGTCTAGTCTAAGGGTAGTATGTTTTAATGAGTCCTAGAAGGTAGACAAATTGATTGGCGGTTCTAAAGGGCCTCTTGTTGTTGTGGGCGAATGGATTAGAGGCAGGTAGAGGTGAAGAGGGGACAGTAGGGGAGGCTGCTGCAGTAGTTCTGGGGAGAGAGGGAGGTGGCTTGGATTAAGGGGCAGTGGAGAAAAGTGGATTATCAAGAAATATATGTGAGCTGGGATGTGGAGACCACTCAAATAAGGAGAGTGAAGAGATGAAGTGCTGAGAACAAAAGCTAAATTTCTCATGAGAGTAATTGGCTCTGTGAGGTTTCCACTTGTTGCAAAGGGTTGGGAGGGCACTAAAGAAGGAACATTGCGGATGGAAGATCAGAGTTGATGTTAGTCTCTGCCCCAGGCCACAGAGTCTTCCCACTTTTCTGGACTCTTCACCCAGAGCACAGGAAAGTTTTGCTTGGGTTTATTCTCTTCCAGGCCTGTCTGCAGAGCTCGATGCTCCTCATTCCTCGTGTCAAAGCCCAAACCAAAATGTCTATTTACTTTATACCAAAATCACAAACTTATTGTGAATCTCACTGTAGTAATAGTTATGTGGGAGCTGGGGTTGTTCTTCCCCTGTCCCCAGAACACTGATGGAACATGAAGTATAAAAAGACCTTCTATATCTTAGAAGACCTTATGAAGAAGGTTTTTCTATCCACATTAATAGCAGCATTATTTGCAATAGTCAAAAGGTAGAAGCAACCCAAGTGTTCACTGATGGTGGAATGGATAAATAAAATGTGATGTAGACTGACAGTGGAATATTATTCAGTCCTAAAAAAAGAAGGAATTATGATACATGCTACATTGTGGATAGATATTAAGGCTATTATTGCTAAATGAAATAAGTCAGTTGCAGAAGAGTAAATACTTTATGGTTTCACTTATATGAAGTACCTAGAGTAGACAAGTTCCTAGAGACAGAAAGCAGAATGGTGGTCACCAGAGACCAGGGGAAAGAGGGATAAGGAGTTAGTGTTTAATTGGTGTGGAGTTTCAGTTTTGTAAGAAGAAAGGAGTTGAGATTGGTTACAGAACAATGTGCATGTCCTTAACACTACTGAATTGTGCACTTAAAAATTATTAAGATGGCAAGTCTCTGTGTATATTGCCACAATAAAATTTTTTTTTGGAAAAAAAACTTATTAGGAAAAATAAATAAATAAAAATGTAAACATAGCACTTCTGGATTAAAAAAAAAAAGGCCAATTTTCCTCTACCCAGAGCCTAACCTTGAAGACAGTACAAAGACATAATTCTAAAGGCCACCTTGAAGTGACCTAGTAGATTCCTGTTAAGACAGGAGACTCTGGAAACCAGTGGCTGTCTTCTTGCTGCTGCCCCGGTGTCTCAGGGTTAACTAGGCTTCCCTAAATCTCACCTCACCCTGGTGAGCAGGTGCTTCTGTAGTCTGGAACTCCAGTGACAGCAATATCCATAACAATAAGGGTTTTGGGATTTTTTTTTTAAATCTTTTTAGTGCTGGGGAACCAAACCCAGGGCCTCATACACCAGACAAGGGTTCTACCAAGGAGTTAAACTCCCGGCCCAGGTTTGTTCTTTAAAATAACAGCCCATAAAAACTTTTTCTTCCTTTTGTTCTTTGAAAGACCCATTGGCCATTCAGCAGTGAATGAGGCTGTCTTAAATTATTAAATGGAGTGCCAGAGCCTCTGGGTCAGATCACTAAAAGAAAATTATAATAAGCGGAAAAGTAGTTTTCCTAAGTCATTATCTCTTGTGGGATTCAGTAGGGTCATGCGGTTAAGAACATCGACTGGTGGCATATGTGACCAAATGCTGGCCTCAATGTCAGCACTGCCACTTATATAAGCTACCCATGGGGCTGCTATGAGGTGAATTACATGGGTTAACTCATAGAAAGTGCTTGGAAGAGTGCCTGGCACATGGCATATGCTGATTTGACAACTTGAGAGCAGACTAAAGGAAATAACATGTCAGCTGTCACCATTCCGAATCTGCATTTCTTGGCTTGTCACTTAGATCATCTGGAAATGTTTGGTTCAGTCTTCTTTATCACACACATCTCAGTGGGTGTAATCTGACTTCCAGAAACATCTCCTCAGAAGAAGAAATTCTCCTTCCTTCCCAGTTATATATTTGAGATAAGCAGACCCCAGAGTGTCAGGCCACAGTAGGTGCCTCACCTTTACTCAGGAAACTCCATGCTGTTTAAGAAAGACACTGGGATGGGAGGTGCCAAGAGATATCCTGCCAGTTCACAGAAGGCAAATAGGGCACATAATTTACAGCGCAGAGCTTCTAAAACATTGACTTTCCCTGGACTTCAAATATTATTCAATGAGAATAATGGGGTTTTTCAGCTTTCCATGCTATAAAATACTTGCCTGCTGATTTAAAATATTAACCGTGATCTTTTAGCAGTTAAAATGTTTTTAAAATGAACTAAATGCAAGAAATTAAAACAACTCCTCTAGTCCTGACTACCCACATCCCATTGGCCACAGAGTCCTGGCATGTTGACCCCTGCATCTCTCCCCCTCCAACATTTCCCTGCTACCCACCCCTGTAACCATGCTTGGACTTCAGTACTGTCTCTCATCTGGGCTGTTGCAACTGAGTATCCTGTTTTCATTATGAGTATTATCAACAAACCAAGCCATCTTTGCTCTCCTTACAGGAGATTTTCTGATTATATGCATGGCTCTGGGATAAAGTCCAAAGTTCTTAGGAGGGAGTTCAAGGATCTTTTGTTTTTTGCCACCTGGACCAAGTGTCCTCCCTAACAGCTCCCCTGTTGCCTTCTCTATTGCTGGGCTTTGGCCATGAACTCTTCCTTTTTCCTAACTATCCATTGCTCTTCAGGTTTTTGTGTTTTTGCCCTTGATATTTTTTTTTTTTTTTGTACCTGGAGTCTTTCCTCATCTGGTCCAATGGAAACTTCTAATCTATTTTTCAAGACCTAACTCAACTGTGTCTCTCTTCAGTGGGACCTTTTCTTAATAGCCCCATGTTGAGTCAGTTCTTCCTTGGGCTCCCACATCACTTTGCATTTTCTTATAACCATAGATCTAATGGCTGTGTGATGCCTGATTTGTTTTGTCTGATTTTTCCAATAGATCATGAAAATCGATTGAGGTGGAATAATATCCTGGACATCTTGATATCTCCAGTGCCTGGCACATAACAGGTTCTCAATAATGACCTGATAAGTGGATAAAAGTAAGAGGGAAAGAACAAGCCAATAACAGTATGTTTCAAACATAAAGCTCTTACATTTTAAGTTTACTGATATTGTTATTTTACTAGTAAAATAAAATCCATTTAAAATAGATGAATAAACCTGTTTGTGCTTTTGCTTCGAGATTAAAAGCTTTTGCTTCACTGTTGGCCTGAGTGACAATGAAAGCCTTCCCAGGTCGATGGCAGACTCTGGTCTCTGGAACCAGATCAGTAGGACTGACTGGGGGGAAGGTTTGAGGTAAAGATACCAGCCCCAACAGCTGTCCCATGCAGGATGTGGCTTTGACCTCTGACCTCTGTGGGTCATTCACTTGCCACTCTTCCAAACACCCACAGAACTGAGCCAGCTGTTCTACCGGGGTCTGCTCCTACATGGTATTCTGAAGCCTTCCAGAACCTTTATCTGCTAGCAGTTCCAAGAGCCACCTCTTCCTTTGCTTATGGTTATTTCAAACTTGAAAATGTAGTACAATTACATTGTCATGGTGGGATAAAATTTAAAGGTCTAAAGTAAGCAGCTGTAATTGTAGTGAATCCCAAGACTCTGAGCCTATCAAAGACAGGGAGCTTTGCTTATTGGTGTACCTGTTCTCCTGGGTGTGACCCACGCACCTTTGCTTAGCTGCCCAAATCACGGGAGCAGGAGTTCGGGGTTACTGTTTAATTAAGTCGTTCAAGTGTCTCAGTGATGTAAGCATCATATAAGTCAAATTTGGGGGTAAAGTAAATCACCTAGAAAATCTTATTGAAACCTGTATTTAGGTTCAATAGGTCCCAGGGTAGGATCCAAGATTTTTGTATATTCTTCTAGTAAGCTCTGTGGTGACAAATATGCCACTTAGTCAAGGCCCTCATTTTAAGTAACACATGTATTAGAACGGGTGCTCTCCCTTCCACGAGCAGGACAAGGACCAGGCCTCTCAGGACTTCACAATATTTCTTTGGATGGTTTAAATTAAAAAGAAGAATATCTTATTAATAACAGAGCAATCCACAAAACTTACTCATCAAAACTTACTCATAAATCGTCCAGTGTCAGGATCTCTTTCTAATTTCCAATCTGTATATATCACTTCACCTTCCTAAAAATATTACAGGTTTCTTATGAATACAATGACAACTTCAGAGACAAACCCTCAAATTCATGTGTTCAGACTAACTGCAACCAAGACAAATATGAGTCCACAGTTCAATGTCATCAAATGATAATTAGATAATCACTTTATGAGAGGGTATCGAAATCATGACTGTACTTGGTTTTACAAAAAATAAGTTGATATTTATATACATACAGTGACATAGAGAACATGATGGCTATGGAAATGTGCTATGTACAAAGAATTCTGCTTCTGGGGTTCCAGAATTTTTGCTGATCCATGATCAGTTTCAACTCATTCAGTGATCTGTTCTTAACATGTAACAAAGTACTTAATAACAACTTGTGGACTAAAAGAAAACATTACCTTTCAATTACCTTTTAAAGTTGAGAACAGGAAACATTAAGTTCAACCCAAATAAAATAACAAGAAGGAGTATATATGCTGGTAGTACCTTATGACCATTTTAAGAAGGGAAGGCAGAAGGACCCAGTGTAAAAAAAAAGAAAGAGCCACACGGGAGGGAAGCATACATGACAGAGGTGGAGAGGCAGTAGCCCCCACTGTCATCTTTTAGATGAGGAAAATGGAAACAGAGAAGTTCAATGACTTAGTCAAGGTCACCCAGATGTAGACTCCTCCTAATTCTAATCTCCACCCCTGACCCCACCCCCACCCCGGACTGAGGGTATTTAAAAAGAGGAATTGAAAGGACTTGGAGGAGGGGATAGATTGGGATGTATAGGCCAGGGAGGAGAGATGAGAACACATTTGATTCATGCAAAGTGAAGGATGAGTTCAGTGGTGGTTGCCAGGAGCTGCAGAAAGGTGAAAAATGAGGAGTTATTGTTGAGTGGGTGCAGAGTTCCAGTTTGAGATGATGAAAAGTTCCAGAGATGGATGGTGACAGTAAGAGTGGATTTAATACCACTGAATGGTACACTTGAAATGGTCATGATGGACAATTTTGTTATGTATATTTTGCCATAATTTGAAACAATTTTTTAAAAAACCTTGCTGTGACACGCAAGTTATAAAACATAACGTCTATTGGTAGTGTCCTACTGCTTACTAAACGGAATTCAAAAGGCCATCTCAGGTATTGGACTCCAGTTCCCCACGCCAGGCATAGCTCTCCCTCCTTCACCATTCTGTGCCACCACCTGCTGACAAATCCCAGACTTTTATGACTCCCAAATATTACTCAGGCTATGACTCCTGCTTGGAACCAAATTCTCACCCTGAGCCTTTTGGGTTCTTCTCAAATGCTAATTTCCCCTCAACCCTCCTGCTTCCTGTTTTAGCAGTTTCTGGACTGGTGTTGACCTCTGTCACACTGTCAATGTGTCTGCTCCTTAACTAGGCAGAAAGTGCCTTGAGGACAGGGACTGTAGGGCACACTTTATCTCTAGCCAGTGTTGAGCATTGCTCCTGGCAGGTGCCATGCTCCCCAGAGCTTGTGACTGGGGATTAATCTTGGAGTACCAGATTGTGAAGGCAAATTGCATTCTGTTAAGACGGAGCTGTGGCATCTTCCCCTGGTGTGTTGGTCTGGGAAAAAGAGGGTCATGAGTGAAAGGAGCATCTCCACCTGACTGTAGACAAAGTTCTGAGTCTCACTTCTTCATCTGTGAAATGGGACTAATAATATTGGCCTTTATTCTTGGGATTAAATGAGTCATACTTTGGAAGATCACCTGGCACAGACCCTAATACATAACAATGTTTGATAAATGTGGGCTTGCTTTGGTTATTACGGTAGGTGCTGAAAATGGCATTCATTATCATTATTATACTCAATGGTTATTTAACTTCTGAATTAATTTTTTTAACAGTCTTTCCCAAGTCTAGCTTGTGTTAGAGTAAGAAAGTGGTATTTTCTTAGTAAATCTCTAATACTTAGCATGTTTTTTTTCCCATACAGTGAAGAATTCAGTGAATATTTGCAGGTTGATCAATAAATTATTAGTAAAAAGTGTCCCTAATTTTATAGAGTTTTTTTTTCAGATTTGTGAATCTATGAGGCAACAAGGTTAAAAATCTCAAATGCAAATAAGCACATGAAAACATGGAAAATATTTTAATAACATAAGTCTTAGTACAGGAAACACATAAAACAGGACTATAATCTCATATTTTGGTATAATTAGGTATTGATTTTAAAAGCAGGGGATTCCTATTTACCTCTGTCCCCACGAAGAACTTTGTGCAGAAGTCTTCTAGTGGCTTCAACTGCTCAGACATCCCACCTTCCAGATTGTAGTACGGGCTAGTTTCTCCTGCCTTCAGTGCTTTGGTCTGGGCTAATATTTTGTCTTTCAGAGGAGCATAGATAGAAGAACACATGTTTACATGAAAGATCTTTTAAAAATACAGTTTACATTTTCTATTCCTTGCCGTATACATCTGTCCCAGTCTGTTCTGTTCTGTGGCATATGATATATATCATAAGTAAATACGCAAGCAGCATAAGAGCGTAATTAGTCCAGGGGCTGAAATGCAAACACCATCAGGAAAATGCTTCTTTTAAAAAAATATTTGATGTCACCTTGTCTTAAAACAAAGTTCATGGTCTAAAATTAATAAATATCATTTCCTGAATCTTTGGAAAATAAAGACAAGCATGAGTGAAAGAACAAAAGTCACTCGTTATCTTGTCTCTCAGAGATAACCACTATTAAAATATTGGTATTTTCCCCTCTAGTGATTTTTCTGTGTGTGTGTGTGTGTGTGTGTATGTGTGTGTGTATGTGTGTATATATATATACACACACATACACACACACATTTTTTAAAACATTGGACCATTTCTATTTGACCTTATCATTCTGCTTTTCCATCTTAAAGATATGTCTTAAGTATATTTGCAGATCATTTATTATTTTTTTAAAAATAAATGTGGTAGTAAATCTCTGGGAAAGATGGTACAAAAAATACATGTTCACAAAACCCTTCTCATTGCATCTCCTCAGTCTGCCCTCTGGTTATGTCTATGGGAAACACCAGCAGATACAAAAACCAGCCAACAAACAGACAAAAACTAAAGTAGGGTAAGAACACTTTAGCTATACTAAAAATTTATGTCGCATTAAAAGATCTTTAGCATAATTCTGGACAAAATTAAAAAATGACATAGTCAACCAACACTTCCTTTGTTCTGGGACCTATATGTTTTGAAAGGTCTCTTTTTTTACTGGGTAAGACATTAAAAGCAAGAAGTGAAATAACCCAAACACAGGGATTTAAAGAAACTGGACACTTAAGTAATTGTTTACAAAGTGCAAATCAATGTTTTAATAAATAATGAGGCACATTCAGTCACATTATTCTCCTTAAAAGAGACTATTTATACACATTTAGGAAAAGCAAAGAGGAATTTCTATTCATTTCATATATAAAATTAAATCATTAAAATATTTTAGATTTTTCACCCTTGTTTTAATGTCTGCTTTTTTCTTTTTAAATAATGTACATAAATATATTAGTAGAGTAGTACATGTATATAAGTTATAAATAATTATATGTACATTGGAGATCTGTACTCAAAAATATTTACTGAGAAGGTACAAGATCAAAAATTTCGGAGGTGGGCTGGGATTTTGACTCAGTGGTAGAGTGCTCGCCTAGCATGCATGAGGCCCTGGGTTCGATTCCTCAGCACCACATAAATGTAAAATACAGATATTGTGTCCACCTAAAACTAAAAAATAAATAATTAAAAAAATTTTTGGAGGCCTCTGGTCTAACAAGGCTAATGAAAAACAAGAAGCAAATGAGAAGTAATATTGTAAAAGAGAAGAGAAGCAGGGTGGGCTGGGAGTCATGAATTCTGTACTGGACACATTGACTTTGAGCAGGTGGGTTGGATTCAGACCTGTGAGAGGTCTAGTGGAGAATTCTCAGCCAGAAAGTGGGAGTCACTTGAGTAGACTATGTTACCAACAAGGGTATAGCTGAAGTTAAAGTTTGAGGTACATTCATGATGAGAGCAGCAAGGCAAAATGGAGCCAGGAAATGGAGGAGGAACTGAAGAAGGAGCAGGATAGGAAAATCACCAACACCAAGGAATGCGTGATGAGCTCCAGGAAAATTTATTGTGGTAGTGCCAGAGGATGAGGCCAGAGAAGAATGTTACCATCAATTTCATTTACTCAGACCTGAGTGGGGCATCTTTGGATATTTAATAAATTCAAAGTCATCCTAAGAGGTCATGGATTTTTCATCATGGGGGTTAGTAATACTAGTAGCTCACATTCATCAAATGCTGTGTGCTTTATGTGAACCATTTCACTCAATCCTTGCAATAGCTTCCAAAGTGTGAATGTATTAATCCTCCTTCAAGGATAAGTAAACTGAGGTTCAAAGAGATTGAGTATTTGCCAAAGGTCTCAAAGATGGTGATTAACATTTATTGTGCTGTTCTTAAAGCTTTGTGTGTATTCACTCATGTTTTCTTCACAATATCCTATGAGATAGTTATCTTTATTTTTTACTACCTATATCTTCTCACTCTGTTTTCAAACAGGTTAAAAAGTAAGGCAAAGAGAGGTAAAGTATTATGATCTGGTCAAATAATGAACAGTGACTTTGAGATTTAAACCTAGAACATCAACTTCACAGCCTTAACCACTATACCACATTGCTTAGAAGGATATATGAAAGGCCCTGAAAGCTGTTGCAAAAGAAGAATTTCACAATCATTTAGAGCTAAGACTTCCTCATTAAAATAAATGTAGGATTTCTTAAAATCATTACAGTTCTTCAAAGGGCATTGTCACGGACCTAAAATGGGAGGAGGCAAAAGGTGAGTGGTCTCTGGCCCCTAGATGGCGACAGAGCACGAGAAACTGAGACCAATTAGGTCTCAAAAAAAAAAAAGGAATATCCAGGACTGGTGATCCACAGTGGAAGGAGGGCCAATATTGGATCTGTAGCAAAATGTGCTGAAGCGTTTATGAGTGTGTTCTAGTTAAAGGGTCCAAGTCTGGCTAGAATAGGTAGATAACTGGCAGTTTGTCCAAAAAAGATCCAAAATACCATAATTGATTTCTAAAAATTAAGGTCCTTAAAATTGGCTATTTGCACAGGAGGCAGAAAATGACCATATAATGTCTGACTGTTTTGTTTTTTTTTAAGATTAAAAAAAATGTGATCAAGATTCCTGGGATTAGCAAATGAAATTTACTTCTTTTAGGCACTATAGAATTGCCTGAAACATGAAGAGCCAGGCATGCATAAGGGGACCTAAAACCAACTAGAATCTAAGTTGGGAATCCAAAAACATGTATCCATTACTGTTACAAATTGATTTAAAATGCCTTTTCTCTGAGAATCATTTATAAAATCATGTTGTCTGGAAAGAGAACATTCATTTGATGATATATACTCTGGTTTGATGACATATGGGACATGCTGTAAGCTTCTTATTTATGTATTTTGATTTTTTATTGATGCATTAGAGCAAGCTTCTTATTTTAAATAGGCCTTTCCTTAATGGGATGTCAATATGTACATTACTTATTTTAGTGTCTATCCCACCAGAATATTAGCTCCATAAAAAACAGGGACTTATCTGTTCTACAGGTGGGCTCCCTCAGAGCCAGGAATTTTATAAATATTTGTTGAATGAACTCAGACATCAATATGGAGATAATTAAAAATTATTCTTCAAAAATATAAAGGAGCACAATATTTCTATATAATACTTCTGGCCACATCTATTTTTATGCACTTATTGTTGAGTGTTGGCTGTGTCAACAGTAAAATGAAGTTTCTTTTAGAGATAAAAAAGGCCTCTATGTCATGAAATGGTACTATATTTAGGCAGCCTTCAGCAAGAGGTAGCTTGGGAGTCTAATATTTATAAAGATATGATGGAAAGAGAAATTATCCTCACTTAATGAATATTAAAATTTAGATTCATTTGTTTAAAAAATATATTATCATATCTCAGTGCATTTCAAAAAATATACTATAGAGAGACATCTGCTTTAGGTCAAGATGGAGCAACTGGGACTGAACTTAGGCTATCTCACCTAAAAAAAAAATCACAAAACACAAAGTATATGAAACAATAATATTTAAGGTGCTTGACATCAGACAACAAAGGGCAGTGATATCTGAAAATTAAGGTTAAAAAAGATAACAGTTTTAAATCTGTCAACAATCACATTAAATATAAATGTTCTAAATATCCCAGTTAATATACAGACATGATCAGGCTGGACTAAAAAAAAAAAAAAAAAAAAAGACCCCAAAGAAGTGTTCAATACAAAGACACAAATAGGCTAAATTTAAAAGGCTAAAAAAGGTACTTCATGTTTTTTCACTAAAAGAAAACTGGAATGACTATAACAATAGTAAACAAAGTAGATTCTGAAGTCAAATTATACCAGTTATAAGACATTAATCTTAGGATTTGTGTATCTAATAACAGAGCTTCAAAAATAATTGAAACAAAACTGATAGAACTGTGAGAAATAGAAAAACCCACACTTACACTGGAAAGTTTCAGTGTTGAAAATCAGAAAGGATACAGAAGACTTAAATAGTACAGTAGTCTCCCTTTATCTGTGGTTTGCTTTCTGTAGTTTCTGTTACCTGTGGTTAACTGTATTCAGAATATATCAAATGAAAATTTCCAGAAATAAACAATTCCTAAGTTTTAAACTGCATATCATTCTGAGTAACATCATGAAATTTCACACCATCCCACTCCATCTTGCCTAGGATGTGAATTTTCCCCTTGCCCAACATATCCACCCTGTATAGGTTACCTGCGCATCAGGTGCTCAGTAGCCATCTTGGTTATCAGACAGACTGTGGTGGTACTGCAGAGCTTGTGTTCAAGTAACCCTTATTTTACTTACTAATGGTTGCAAAGTGCAAGATTAGTGATGCTGGCGATTCAAGTATGCCAAAGAAAACCCATAAAGTGCTTCTTTTTAGTGAAAATGTGAAAGACACAATAAGATATTTGGAGAGTGAGAGAGAACACATTTATATAACTTTGATTCTAGAATATAGTTCCATATTGAAGCGTTTGATTTTCTGTATTATTTTCACAAATTAAACTGTTTTAGCAAGTAACTCACCTTAGATATAATCAAATACAGATGCCCAAACTATTAAATGCCTTTTTAATAGGCAAAAAGCAGTTACCTTGTGTTTTGTAAAGAAGATGGTCTTCAGTCAGGCTTATCTTGGTTGGGCAGAGGTCTAAACTTGTTTCCCCCTTAGACAGCTTTATCTTTTGGGAGAACATAAAGGAAAGCTGTATTCTTTCATATTAAGAAAGAAGTTCTTATCAAGGATAACTTAAGATATCCTTAATTTTGCCTGTCACTTCTGACCTCAGATTGTGGGAAACCCACCTACTCCTCCTTTCCTTCCTGCTTCCTTCCTCCCAGGTGCTTTTTACCATGGAAAACACCTAACCCACATTTCCAAAACCTTGCCGCAAAAGGGAGCTTGTCTGGAGGCACATTTCCAAATCCCAAAGTTTCATGTTGTATTATCTTTTTGAAAATGCCTTATATTCTACTCCATAAGAATCCTTGTTAGTTTTAATATAAAATGATGACTCAGTCTCATGTTCCCTAAATATTTCAATTAAATGAGACTCCAGGAAGTTGTAGAGGGACCTTTGCATCTACCTGACCTCCTCCAGGTTCCATCAGGGACATATGTGACTCTAAGTTCTAGAAGTGGCCTTGGGCCTCCACCAGATCCTAGTGGCCAGAATGATATTCTTAATTGTCTCACTTTAGGTTTTTCCTTCATGGCTCCTTCCCTATTTTTCTATTTCAGAATGTTTGCACATGTTGTACAATTATTCTTAAGTGTTGCTGCTTGTTTTAATTATTCACCACTCAGTAAATTCTACCCCAGAAAATTTCTAATATTTTCTTTCCAATTCTTTCCTGGTTACTTCAGGAATATTCTCATCCCTCTATGCTCTCTCATCCACTAGGGGCATATTTAATAATGTAGTTCTTGTGATACTTATAAACTAAAAGAAAAGTATTAAGTTTGGAATTAAAATTAGATGTTCCAAAGAAAAAGCCCATTCACACTTACCATACACGGCCTTGGCCATATTGTTCTCAAGGTAAATTGCTTTTCTTTACATTTTGTAATTCAAGATGTATACAAATAACTTTCAAGTTCTGTTTGGGCTAAAGTATTGCAACTATATTATTTCTTACTATTGATATGCAAACTATGCAGGATTTTGACAGTGTTGGGGAAAATTAGCTTTTCTGGGCTAACTTGGGTAATTACCCATTTTTGAGTAATGGATACACAACTGAATAATTCTTACACAAACCATTTGTAAGCTGTTGTTCATGGTTTGCTTATATATGAAATATCAATCTCAAGTTCACAATGATTTTGATTTCTGGTTTGCTCTAGACAGGCATCAAAATAATGCTCAATCAAGGAATACATTGTTTGAATGAGTTCATGAATTTTAAGGTCCTGTGTTAATTTGAGCTGTTTTACTTTTAGAGGCTGTGCATATGCATGTGTATTTATGCAAAATATATAGTGTACATAAGTAAATAGGATGGCTCTAACCCCATGCTACCTCACCTTAGCAAGAGGTTTCCAGGAGAGATCTAGATGCAAAAAAGTAGGTGGTACATCAAATGGAATTTCAATACTTTCTTCTTTCTTTTTCTCTGTTGGCTGAGGGGTTAAAGGTTTCTGTGGTCTAATATCCCAGAAACATATCGTGCTAAAAGAAAGTTGACAGACATCTTTATTAAAAACAATTAAGAGGTTTAGTCTCAGCACCAACATCAGTGCTGATATACACCAGCAATCTGACTATGGCTATGTTCTAAGGTCTCTGAAATTAATTTTTTTAAAATAGGACAGGTTTTTATTTCATAGTTTAGGGGATTATACCATATATAAGGTTTCTCGCTTGTCTAGAGATTAATATTGCCATATGTAAGAATAGAGTTTAGACACTGATGCAGTCTTTTAAATATGAAATTAAGATACGTCTCATAAGCTAAAAATTCCACCCATTTAAGGTGTATGATTTAATAGATCCATCAGGTCTCCCTTGCTCATGGCTGCGGCTCAGGTCACTTTTTCTCCTGTCAGTTTGCATATACTTCTGCTGTCTTTAATAGTACAGTTTTTCTAGTATTTAAAGGCTAGATAAATAATAAACTCTACATATTTCCTACATTGTTACAAATTCTTGGTCCTATAAATTAAAGGACAGAATTTTATTTAAATGATTATTCTCTACCAAGTTACTTATAAAAACACTTTTTACAAATGTACAAAGAAAATAGAAAAACTCTTCTACTTTTTAAAAGCTTTCCCAATGAAACGTTACAATCTCCCTAAGTGTGAGATAAAATTGAATGTAAATATCACACACTGCAAATTTATAAATAAGAAAATGTGAAGAAGCATAATAACTATAGATAACACTATACACTGTCATTAACCATGAATCCTGGTTAATTCCTTTTTGTTTTTAAAACAACATACCTACTGCTATAAAAATATTTTTACATACTAGCAGCAATCTATACCAGTCTGCCCTTGAGTTATATTAAGGTTAATTGTTATAATAAAGATGAGTTAAGGAGCACTAGACAATGTTCTTAGGAACAAATAAGAAAAAAACAATACATTGGGTGAAAACATTTTAGGTAATGTTTGAAATAAGACATACCAATCTGCTGAACATGTGGCAAGCTGACAGCATATTCCATTTCGATTCTCAAAGACAGAGCCCATTCTGTTAATCTATTTTTTAATGCAAAAAAGTCAATTCTGTATATCTAGAAAAGTAATAACTTTTTTCTCATAGTTATTTTTTTATGTTTTTAATTTTCCTCTTCTATTTTAATATAAATTTTAATAAAAGATCTTAATACTACCACAAGAGTTTGGAAAATACGTCTTAAAATCAAATATGATTTTGTCACATATTCTTGCCCAGTCACAGAAACATTTTTAACATAGTTTTAATTAGAACACATGTAAATATTTATCCTCAGAATTTTCACTTCACATAACTTGAACATTTACCTAGGCATATGATGGATTATTTTAATAGTTTCATAATGTATAGATGATGTACTATACTTTCATTATTGTTGGAATGTAGGCCCTATTAGTTCTTTTATATTATCAATTGTGGAGCTAAACATAGCAGCTTTTATGAGGTGGTTGAGCAAGTAAAATCAAGAAAAGAGGCTAATATTGGTGACTGGGGTAGGAAGAAAGGAGGGGTTGCTGGGACAAAAGGATGGCTACTTCCAGGCCAGCCTTAGCAATTTAGTGAGCCCCTGTCACAAACAAACAAACAAACAAACAGAGGCTGAGTGTTAACTAAGAGACCAATGGTGTCCAGTGTCTGTAATTACTGGCGTAACTCTGCAAGTACACGGAGGATCTGCAGGAGAGTTGATGACTCCTCCTTGTCCTAGAAGCTCCTAAATCTCAATTAACTAGCTGTCAATGCAAAAGCCTTTGGAGGCGGCTTGAGAAGATGTCACTCTTGAATTAATAGGGAGACATGATTTCCCCAATTCCCTCCCCTCCTGATAGGGATGAGGAGCAGAACAGTGAAACAAAGGTGGGACTTCCAGCAGCAAATAAGCGGTGAGAGCAAGAGTGGAAGAAGAGGACAGAGGGGGCTCTGGTTAGGCCTGGAGGCAGCACAGGAGTTGGGCAACCACAGACTAGGCTGACACCACTGTGGCCTGAAGGCCTTCAGGTTGTGGAGCTGCGGCCAACTTCCCCTTAAATCTGATAGTCCTTGCACCAAAATCTCTCTTTGCTGAGGCTCCCTGTTGCATGAAATCAGGGCCCTCAGAGATGTGACTGCTCTGGGGTTTTATGTTTTAAAACTAAAAATTCCTAAAACCATAATATTACAGAAGCTTGGAAAGCAGAAAGCCTTCAAATCAAACAGAAGGCTACTTTATCTTCTTTTCCAATCTTCTTTCATGTGCACACTTTGACATGAGTCTTTCGGGTGTGCATGTAATTTTCTATCTTGAGACACAAGATAAATTGAATCAAATATGATTTGGATCATTTCTTAAGTTGAATTCCCAAAATTGGAATTACTGGTCAAAAAGCTTGAAACTTTGGATGACTTAAGAACTACACTGACTAATTGCATTCTAGAAATTTCATATGTCAGTCAGCAATGGTAATGGACAACATTTTAACCTTTCAAATACTACTTTGTATTAAAGAGATTTCATTCTTTAAATTTTAATTTAAAAATTAAATAGATCCAAAAGAGTAAGTTATCTTTTCTTTATTAATTTGTTTGATATTAGAAAGGCTGGGTGATTTTCATGTTGACTCACTGTTTTGTTTGGTGTATGTTTTTGCTTACTTATTGAAAATTTTTATAATAACATCACATTTAGTACAAATATTTTCCTCCATTTCATTATTTACTTATTTTTAAATTTATTTTGTGTGACAGGAATTGAACCCAGGACCTCATGCATACTGGCCAATATACTCTACCACTGAGCTATACCTCCAACCTTGCCTTTTAATTTAGAAATTTAAATGTGTATGCTTTGAATCTGTCAATTTTTTCCTTTATCATTTCTTTCATCATTAAAAAGCTTAAAAAACTATCCCCATTCCAGAAATCTGACATTATATTCTGTTTTTTTAAATATAATATGTTATTTCTATTTAAATGTATTGTCATCTGAATTAACTTGTGTGTGTGATGTGAGTTAAAAGGGAGTTATTTTGTGTTATAACTTTCATTATCAAATGTAAAATTTCTCAAAATTATAGAAACTGTGTCTGAATTGTTTATTTTGGTCTATTATGACTTTTTAACAGTAGTTTTGTTTTACATAATCCACTTGAATACCTGGTTGAGCTAGTAACTCTCAAAACGAATTTCTCAGAATGTTCTTTGATATTTACACTTGTTCATTCTTTAAAGTACACAGCAAACCCTGGTGTCCTTGAGGGAAAACATGTGGGGAGCTTGCTTGTTTTCAAATTCATAAAACCACACTTTGTGAGGCTGGAGTCAAGCTCAGACCCTCAGTTGGGGTGGTCAGCCAGGCGTGCTACTATGTGGCTAATCTTCACTAGCAGCCCTTTGACACACTCAACTCTAAAATGCCTTGGCAAAGCCACACCTTACAGTGTGTTACAGATTGTTAGGGTTGCCTGCCCCTAAAGACCTGAGATCATAAATTCTAAGTCCACAAATGCTAAAGGAGTATAATATTTGCACTTAAGTTTTGCATATCAAACCCTCATTTTCTCCACCATCGTACCTGTATCAATATTGATACTAACTACAGTTTTCGGTGGTTAATAAACTATCCCTAGTTGGAAGATTGACCTTATTCGAATCCCCAAGTTCTGACACTGATCTGGAAATGGTGACCCAGTTTTTGATGTTAGGCTCCTATTTTTCTTTTTCCCACAACAATTTAAATATAAATGAACTGTTGACTTGAAACACCTACTTTGGATAAAATCTGAAAATTTATAATCCAGCAGGAGAAAAGTATAAAGCCATCAAGACTCACCTCGAATGTGTCAGGCAGCCAGTGTATATCTGTAATTATTTTCTTATGTCCACTTTCTATTGAAGAAACAGCACAGTGTCTGATGAAGTTGGACTCTTTAGGACTTTCCGGTTCAAGGAGAAACATAGGCTGAAGAAATGTTAAAGTCACATTTCAGAGAGCTGATGAGTGAACTCAGACTCTACTCATCATTTCAATTAAAATTAATAATTTGAAGATATATCAGTTCAAGGGAAAACATAATGAGTGTTTCTCTATAGTGTATATTTATGTAAGATTCTTGATTTCCCCTTAAGTTTAGTCGTAAGATTTTATTTCTAAACCTAAGTATTATTGGCACACTCCTGAAAGCATCATTGGTCTATCCCAGTCTTGAAGGAGAATTTCCATGTGTGCACAGAATGTGACATTGACCATTCCTTGATAAGAGGCTTCTTGATATTAAGACTGAAGAACTGGGGTTCTGAGGATGGGGATGGGGGTGGGTGGGGGGATGTTCAATATAGTGGCCAAATACTGAGTCAGGAGCAAGATATATTTTTCCAGTGCTTTTTAACAAAATCCACAGCCTCACAAAATTATAGTGTATTTTGACCAGAAAGGATTTGAAATCCCTTCATTTCATATATGAGAACTAATTCCTGATGAAGTAAGGTGATGTGTCTAAACTCACCCACTGTGAGGCAGAGCCTGGATACCTGGCCCTCTGTCCAGGGCTCTCTCAATGACAGCACATAATATAAATCACTTGGTCCCTTTGTTTTACTTAACAATAACAACAACAACAACAACCCCCCCCCAACATCTGGTGGGATAGATGATGCAACTTGTTTTGTTGCACTTTTAAAGAAGGGTCCACACAAATGCAATTTGGAACACATCTATGAAAAAATGGGAAGGCTTAGGAAATAACATTCTTTTTTTCTTTTCTCTACTGAGTCTTTGTTAAACTCGGCAACTTTTTGATGAATTCCTAAATGAGAAAAAATTTGCAAGTAAAAATTTTTAGAAAACCAACCTTGAGTGTGACCTTTTTGCTTTTGCCACTCGCCTTAATGTTTTCTATGTGATCTGCAAATGTGGTGATGTCCCACAAGACAATCTAAAACAGAAATAAATGGTTTCTTTAAACACTTTCAGGAAACAGCTAATTGGATCTTAAAGATTTCTTTAGAAAACTATTGATATGCAGCCTGATAAATCAGTCTTCTTAGGTGATAATCAAATTTAGTCTATATCTTCATAAGCAATTTTTAAAATGAATATTAAAAAAGAATGTTTTCTCCTTTCTAAAAGTTCTTCAGCCATTGGATTTTTCTGCTTGTGATAATAAATGCCAATATTTTAAAAAGATCTAGATGAGTATCATGTACTTTGCTTTGCTTTGGGAGGAATTCTTCTCCTGTACTTGTGAATGTACAACTGCTATAGACCCAGGGGAAAAGATAATTTTTCAAAATTCTCCAGAATCAAGTTCTGAATTAAGTACAAGGCTGGTAATTGATGATTTCTATTTTTTGGGGGGAGGGGTGGGGGGACTACAGGGGCACATTACTACTATGCTACATCCTCAACCATTTCTATTTTTTTTTTTTTTGAGAGAGAGTCTTGCTAACCGCCTGGAGTCATGGGGACTATAGGTGTGTGCTTCTATGCCCAGCTTGTTGATTTTTATTTAATTGAATATTATAGCCAACTTCAATTTTGTATATACCTGGTCATTTTCTTGAAAAACCAGACTAAAATAGAACTGTTATACAATATTAAATTAGTTTCAATGACTAAAAGTTCAATCTTTTTTTTTTTGTGTGTGTATATATATATATATATATATATATATATATATATGTATATATTTTTTTTTCTGGTGAATTCTATTTAAATTCTGTATCATCCTCTAATAACTACTCACAGGAAAATTTCAGAAGAGGTCTTTTTTTTTTTCATGAAGTGGTAATGCTTGTAGCTATTTTTCTTCCATGGATTCTTATAGAATATGTGGCTCTATCCCAGCAACTCCAATAGAGTTGACTCAATTTTTGTCAATCATTGTAACTGGGTTACCCTGTGAACATCTCATATGCTGTTACCATGTCTCACACATCTTCATCCCCTGGTTCCTGGCAGGGTGACTGGCACACAGCTGACAATGCTTTCTTCTGTTGAACTTAATTTTTAAGTTAGTTCAAAAAACTACCGAATCAAAATTTATAGAATGTTATCTACATTAATAAGTGACTAAAATATTCCATAAATACCTGTCCATTTATACAGCCTCCAGCAATGATGTTAGGGTCACTCGGACAGAAGTTGAAGCAGATGATATCATCGGGGCTCTCCAGCATTAGCTAAAGCAAATCCCACAAATGGAAGAAAGAGCAAGAAAACCTATTAAGATCATAGCTAGTAAATAACATTAAGGTGGTTTGAGGTCTAATTTTATAGCTGTCTATAAGCAACGTGCATTAGAGTTCATTCTCAGAAATCTATCTCTGATTGGAAGGTGCTTTTGTTGAATATTATCATGTACATTGGCCATACCTATGATAGTGGGGATATTTTCAAGGGCACCTAGGTCTTCCCCCTTACCTACTTCTAATGTGCCCCCTATATAATGGTTGGCACATGTTAGAATTTTTCTAAACCAAAGGACTTTTTAAGGAAAGCCTTATAGTAACAACATATTATTATATTTAAGAATAGTACAAAAACTTAATCTAACATTAAAAAAAAAAAAAGCACCTTCCACTAAACAGAACTCTTATTGAGCAGATACTGGAAACTAGAACCATATGAAACAAACCCAGACTTCAGTCTCATTTTATGCAGATTGCTATGTGTTTTAGTTTGGTTTGAGTGAGGTGTGTGTGTGTGTGTGTTGGTTGGTTTAGCTTTAGTTAGGCTATTTAAAATTGGGAAATTTTCACACAAAATCTTAAATTACTGATTCTCTTGACAAAGGGACGCCCTGGCAACAAGAGAGCTGAAGAGTACTGATCCAAGGTAGAGAGGTCCTGTACTTGGGGACACAGTCCTACTCCTTCCTCCCTCTTGCTCTCCCACACAATCATCTTTTCTCATTTCCGCCACCTACTGGTGTTTCTTGGAATTGAGGAGATTCATGTGAAATAATTGAAAATGAAATACAATTGAAAATCAATTTGTATTTGAAAATCAATATTAAATAAACCCAGAAGAGTTTGTTTAAAAATAAGTTTTAAAATTCCTCTTTAACCATTTTTTAAAAAAATATATTGCTTTGTTCAGCACACTGTTTCAATAAACTCACCATAAACTTTAATTTTGCTCAAATTGGATGACAGGCTAGGCATTGAAGAAATCCCAATTTCATAAGGCTTTACAACATTAATTAAGTGGTAAGAAAGTACTTTTCACTTAGAAAAACTGCTAAAGATATATGACAAATTAGTACCTGAAATTTCCCGGTTATGTGGGTAACTTGTAAATTACCTGAGGATGTATGGGATCAGAAAAACTCCAGAATAAAATCAAGGATGGTTGCAGCAATAATTTACCAGAAAGCTGGACTCTCTCTTCAAAGGAGAGACGCTCGGCCATTGACACAGCGATTAGCCCTGAGTGAAATGTAAGGAGACATTAGCATTGGCAGCAATAGGAGGTGGAGAAGAGCTTCCATCTTGTGCTCTTCTGTGTAGCAACTACTCATTGACATTTTGATGAAATTCAAGTAGAAATCTTCCACAGGAGAGCAAGAGTCTTCTTAGAGCTCTGTTGTTGAACACAGTAGCCACTCGCCACATGCCACTTGTTAACTATTTCAAATGGAGATGTGCTGTGAGAATAAAATAAGCACTAAACTTTAAAGATTTGGTAATAAAATAAAATGTTGCCAGGCATGATGTTGCACACCTGTAATCTCAGTGACTCAGGAGGCTGAGGCAGGAGGATTGCAAGTTCAAAGCCAGTCTCAGCAACTTACTGAGGCCCTAAGTAACTTAGTGAGACCCTGTCTTAGTAAATGAATGAATAAATGAATGAATGAATGAATGAGTGAGTGAATGAACAAATAAATAAATAAAGGGCTGGGAGTATGGCTCATTGGTTAAACTACCCTGGGTTCAATCCCTGAAAAAAACAAAATGTTTCCTTTTGTATGTGTGTGAAAAAGGGCTGGTGGGGAGTTTGGGGAGAGAGTGAGCAGGGACTTCATGTTTCTGCCTTCACATGTTCCTCTGCTTCTCAGCTGCCAAGCTCCTTAAAGAAGGTAAGTGTTCTGTCTTGCCCAGCAATCCTGGAGGCAGAGTGTCAGGAGGAATGAGTCCAGTTGGGGAGTCCCCTTGCACTGCACAATTGAGTGACCTGAACAAGTCACTTCCCAGAGTTGAGATTTGGTCCTCTTGTTGTAAAATAGAGGCAGTAATATGTGCATGTCCCATGGGATTGCTGGGAAGACCTGTGGAAGCAAAGGTGTTTGGCAGGTACCTGGCACTCAGCAAATGGAATTGGTTTTGAAATTGATCTAGTTTGATCTAATTTTACATAAATTTAAAATTGATCTAATTTTACATAAAATAGCAAGACTGTTTGATATCAGCACAAAAGGGAATCCATCATTTCCCTCTCACCATAGATAGTTGGGTGCCAGGAGATGTAGCTAATCATTTTATCCGTGCCACTATGAAGGTCAGTAAAGGACTGGTACTCTTTCAGGTGGGTGTCAGTTTTATCTCCAAAGGCACCTTCTTCTTCTGCCAGGCACTTCCAGTCTTCAATGAATGTGTTCATGATTTCATTTTGCTGCAGGGCTATTTCAACACTATTTTATTCAAGAAAGCAATGAAGATGTTGGATTTTAGTGTTCAAAGATAAGGCTATTTTAACAGGTTTTTCTTCATTCATATTGAACAAAACTAATAATTCTCAATTATATTTGGTCATAAGGATTAGCCCCACATGAAATAAATAACTTAAGAGAAAAAAAAAAAACTTCATTGGAATTTGTTACTTAGAACTTCTTTCATGAACTTGCTATTCAGCAGCAGGAAGGGCCATTAGCTGACAGCCTCTGGTAACTGCAGGTCTGTGAGTTCCGAGGCAAGTCTGCACTCTGTGCAGGTCAGTGACTGAGCAGGATGCCAGGGCCTGACCAGTTCTGCTCTGAAGGCTGTGCCGGATTGGCTGAGAGTTTGTCTGAAGCTCTACCTGAACACTTCTCCCTTTATATTTCACAGTTTATACTCAGGAAACCTCTACTGCTAATTTGGCCTCAATTGCTTTCTGGAAAGGCCAAAGTGACACAAAAGGAAATTTCTAAGGCATTTTCAGTATTAAATTATCACTTATACTAAAAGAGGACAGCTCAAATATGTGTGTGGACATGCATGTAATGCATATGTGTGTATTACATAGATACATATACATATGTGTGTATAAATTCAAAACAACAAATAACTGATTCTCAACAGGGGGAGATTTGGAGTTTAGCAGTGTGTGTGTGTGTATGTGGAGTTTAGAAGTTTGTGTGTATGACAACTAAAACTGGTGGTTTTAGTTGTCACAATGCCACAATGCCTGGGAGGTGTTACTATATTCAATTCTATTACCCACCCCCTTACAATATATAAGATAGTTCCTAAAATGAAGAATTATGCTACTAAAAATGATAATATTGGTCCTTTAAGGAATAATCTGAGTGCTTGTACAATCTCTTAGCCGGCTAGGGATTCTGGTTTCACAGGCTCCTGTTTTTAAATAGTTACTATGTTTATTATTCCTTTATATAATTAAGTTTGAAAATAGCTCACTAGGCTTCTTGGAGCTTTCTTACAATTAGAATGCTGCTTCAATGATTGAAAGTCCAAATATCTTGTGTGTATATGTTTACATAGGTGTGGTAAGCTGAATCATTTCCAATGATGAATTTCTTAAAATAAGAAGAAACCCTGCATTTAGACAATTAAATGTAAACACTAAATTTCCTAATGGACATTCCTAAAATGTAAATAAGGGTCCCATTTGATATCTCTGTCACTGATCCTTAACACTACTGGTCACTGCTTAATTGAATTCTCTCTTGGTTAAATTCCTTGTAGTTCATCTTTTCGAACAGAAGCATTTTTAAGTCCCTGTGCTTCAAGTGTGGATCATGGGCCAGCAGCAGCTGAGGGCCGGCAGCTTGCTAGCAGCACGGTCACAGGCCTCTGTCGCCTTCTACCACCTGTATCTGCAGAGTCATCGCCTGAATTTTAACAAGGTCCCCAGGTGGTTCACTCGCACATTAAGCTTTGGACAACCCTGCAGTAGAGTATGTTCATACCCTGGGACTTCAAAGTATACACTGTTTCAAGAAGAAAAATTAGTTAGCCTTTTTCAAAGGGTATTTCTGTTTCAGCCTGAAGGAGAAAGGCAGTCTCAAGAGACAGGGCTTGTGTTCTATTCTCATGGCCCCAGTGGGGAAGTCAAGGGAGAAGTGAAGACAGCACTTTCTTCTGGTTTCCAGTCGCTCCATCTCCAGGAACCTTGTGGTTCCTGAGAGGAATGAACTACAGCTGGCAAAACTGTTGTCCCAGGTAAAGCCCATGAGGATCACTGTTTTTTGTAACCCCATGTTGGTTGCTCTGTGAATCCCTTTGAAGTTTCTTTCCTATCATTTCTTTCTTTTGCAAATAATGCTTCTCTTAGGTTTGTTTGTTTTGAATGAAAGAAAGAACTCTTTTCTAAATGGACATTCTTCCAGAACAAAATCAGGTATATATTACTTTAAAAATCTTAAGTAAATTCTAAACTGGTTTAAAGTTGGAAGTACAGCAGTAGTATAAACATGGGTTTCTTATTTATTTTGGCCACTGCTATTGTAATTCCTGTGCTAATTTTCCTTTTTAATAATTCTTGCTTCTGCTTTGTACATCTCAGGGAACAAATTAAAAAGCAGTTCATCATTCCTTTCTTTATAAGCATGGCAATTGAAAGGAAAGTATAAAAGCCCAAGTCTAAAAATAACAACCAGATTATCTTTAGAATAATTAGGGATTGATGAGTGGTCCTTTTATTTTTAATCTTCTTATCAAGAAAAACATTAATGACTACTTAGTGTTGCAATGAGGTGCTATGTGTTTTGCTATGTTTTGATTCTTGTAACCTAAGTAAATCCATATTTTAGTTATGATCAGTGTGACTATGCTCTGGCAGCATTAGGTCTATTTTGAGTCTTTTCTTGTAACACAAACTTTAACTGAGCTGAGTTGCTGGCTGACGACACATTGACAACTGAGTATTGATATACAAATCCGATAGTTGGTATCTCAAGACTTTTCCTTCCAAAGTTACCACCTGGAAACTTTACATGTCTTCAGAGTCCATAAATAACAGTACCTTAAGACTGCCATTTGAGACTCATCTCGCTGTGACTGCACTCTGAACATTCACTCTGAACATTCATTGGATGACAGAGGTGAGCAGTCCTTTGTTTCATTGTTGGACAACTTGGCTTTTCACACAGGGGACTGGTCTCCCAATCCATTAGGACATTTTTATCCATGGATGCACAGTGTTTAGTTTGTAACTAACATTTTGTGTCAGAGTAAAATTTTTTTTTTACCCATTTTTGCCTAAATGTTCACATATTCCTTTTGTTTATTTTGCTCTTGTGTGCATTACAATGGACTGATTAATTTGGGAGCTATCTTGACTTGTTATTTGATTAGGAGGACAAAAAAAAAAAAGGAACCTATTTTATTGCAAGAATTACAATGCTTGAGGTTAAAATTGTCATCAGGTATTGGAAAACCTGACCACCCTTCTTGGTCCAGTGCAACAAGTGACAAGAAACCTTACATTTTCTTCTTTCTTTCTCATTGCATCATGCTTGATGTGAGTGATTGGCAAAGAGTGAATGTACTCTGAATCATTAAATGAATTTTTTCATCAGATTCTTTCTAGACATCGGTAACAATTTTTGAGAGTTGCTGGAGTTTTCAGGACATTTTAGTTCAGTCTGAAAGAATTAATGAATGTTTTCTTAAAAATAAAAAGCTTATCTTGTGCTATGTATAAATTTAACTATCACATTTTTTTAATTTCGGAAAGAAATAGAAACCAACCAATTCAGTACAACTGCTAGACTGGTCCACTACTGATCACTTCAAACTCTGATGATAGTTCCATGAGATTTAGTGAAGCTCATTCTCTAGTTTAGAAGCCCCAGCACTCTGCTCTGAGTCCTAGCACAAGCATAGGGGTTGTTTTGAAAACATCTCTCTTTCAGAACCTGGGTGGGCAGCAACAAAGAAATTTGTGATAACAGTGACATGTCCAAAAAGCATATCTGAATTGAAGATAGTTTTTGAAAATTCTTTCATCATAATAATGATCATCCCTAACACCCACAGCATCTTCAACCTAATTGTCCTATAAAAGGCAATGAAACTGAGAAGGGAATTGGGGGGTGGAGAAAAGAAACCATAGTATATACAAATATACTTTGACTAAGGTCGAGCATCCTTAGTCCAAAAATTTGAAACCTGAAATTGTTGAAAATCTGAAACGGTTTGAACAAGGACAAGACACCACAAGTGGAAAATTCCATACCATGAAACTTTGTGTAAAATTACCTTCAGGCTATGTGTGTAAGGTATATGTGAAACAAATTAATTTAATGTTTAGGTGTGGGTTCCTCCAAAGCTATCTCATTATTATTATTATTCCCAAATCCAGAAAAACCTGAAATTGGAAACACTTCTGGTCCCAAGCATTTTGGATGTGGGATACTCAGCCTGCAGTTGTTAATTTGTAATTAGGAAAACATCCTCACACATTCAGTTGCTCAGTGTGTTTGATGTGGTCCCAGCATAGGATATTGCTTAGCAATAGAAGGGCAAGAAATACTGATAATCTGTAGAATGTGTCATGATCTCATGCACATTTGATGTTTTGTACTTTCTATCTACATACCATATAGAATTATTTATTAGAAGCATTATAAATAAACTTGCACATTTTATGTTTTATTTCTAAATTTTAATATAAAGTTTTTTACCTTGTGGATACCTTCTTAAGAAAATCAATCAAAGTCTTTGATTGTCCAAGTTTCTCTCTTTCCTCTTCTGAGAATTCTCTAGCATAATATTGTGTGGTAGCATTTTTGGGGTATGTCCTAATATATTCAAAGAAAATAGAATACAAAAAATTATATAAAAGAAAAGCAAATATAGATCATGATAGGTCAAAAGTTTATCTCTGTAGGTGGGTGCAGAGGTGCATACCTGTAACCCCAGAGACTTAGGAGGCTAAGACAGGAGGATTGCAAATTCAAGGCCAGCCTCAGCAACTTAGTGAGATCCTGTCTCAAAAATGAAAACTAAAAAGAACCGGGGATGTAGCTCGGTGGTAAAGTACTCTGGGTTAAATTCCCAGTACAAAAAAAAAAGTTTGTGACAATGATATTAGCTATTAATTTATACTTAAATTCTAAAGTTCGAAATTTTTTTTTGTCTTAGCAATTGATATTAACTACCATTCAAAATCTAAATGTATTTCTCTCTGACATAATTAAAAGGCTTATTTTGTAAAATTTTAACTTAGAAATCATTTTTAATTTATAGAAAAGTTATAAGGAGGATATAAAGAATTCTCATACACCTTTTGCCCAGATTCATCGATTATTAACATTTGCCAGATTTACATTATCGTTGGCTCTCTCTTCATGTCATTAATGTTTCTTGACTACTGCAATACACCCTCATGCTCAGGGAATATTTGGCAATGTCTGGAAACAGTTTTGGTTGTCAACGCTGGGAAGCGTTGCTGGCGTCTAGTGGGTAGACCCCAGCGATGCTGTTACACAGCCTACATAACACAGGTAAGTTCCCCCACAACAGAGGATCATTCAGCCCAACATGTCAGTTGTGTTGAGGTGAGAAACTCTGCTCTAAGTATGCAAAACTAGGAAGAAGTTATAGTTAGGCAGTGATGGCAGCATGATCTCTGAAAGGAATCTGCTTCCTCCAGTCTGCTCTCCAGGTCACCTTCCCCGTGAAAATGTCACATAGCCTTTTACTTCTGGGCTTCATTGATAGCCCCCACTCACTAGACTGGGTGATGTTGGTCCTAGCATGTGGTGCTGAGAAACAGATGAAGCACAATGATCAGGAGTGTGGGCTCTTAGGACAGGCTGCCTGACTTTGAACCTCATTCTCTCACTCACTCTTGAATTTAGATCTCCTGACCCTCTCATCTATTTACACCCTCTATAGCCATCACTATTACTCACAGCCAACATTCCTTGAAAGCATACCACATCCAAAGTCTTGTGGTTGGGGTCCCTGTTGTTAGAGGTTTACTGTCCCTTCTGAGTCCACCTACTGAGTCTAACCTGGCTGGCTTGGACTTGTCTTCACCGGGATAGGGACCCAGAGGAAAGCTGGCTGGCTTAGCTGGACATTTGTCTCAAAATCCAGGGCCCTTTGGTACTTACGTATCACCTCTCTCCTTTGTGTCTCACTCTCACTTCTTGGGAGTTTATGGATCTCTACTATCATCATTCCCTGCAGGGACTTTACTACCAATCCTTGTCTTTCTGTTTGTTTTCTCTGGTTCAAGCCTGTCAATTCATCTGCATCCTTAGTTTCTGATTCATTTTTTGGCCCAGCATTTGGTGTTTATGTTTCTGTGCCCTGACTTTAACATTGCACTCTCAAAGTTTCTGATTTTTGGCTTAAATATATCTGAAAAGCATTTGTGTGTTACGTTCCATGTTTTAGACCCTGATTCTTCTGGTCTTGAACTCTTTTACTGTATTTCCTGGCTTTTCCCTTAACACTCAATATAAATGCGTGATCAAGCTGAAAGATTTCACTAACTCCATCCTTCCTCTTTCCTTCTTCTATTCCTTTTTTTCCTCCCCATTTAGTAAGTGCATGTCAGGAACTACTGTAGGAGTTAGAGACACGGGGTAGGGAGAAAGAGAGAGACAAAGTTTTTGTCTTGTGGAGCTTAAATTCTAAATGGGGAGGGGAAAAGAGACAATGAAAAATATATATTAAGCAACGCCAGCACCATGAAGAAAAACAGAGTAAGGAGTTAGATAGTCATCAAAGTGGTAGCCTTTATGTAGGAGTGTCAGGGAATGCCTCATTTGAGCAGAGGAGGAGGGAAGGAGACATAAAAGATACCTGGCAGGGAAGAGCATTCTAGGTAAAGGAACTGCATACATATACCAAGCCTGAGGGTGTTTGGAGAATCCAAGAAACAAGAAAGACAGTGTGGCTGGAATGGATGAGAAAGGGGAATTATGAGAAAGGAGAGGGGGAAGGAAAAGGGATTCTTGATCATGTGAAGCCTTATAGGTTCCTTTAGGATGGAAACCACTGGAGGGCTTTAATCAGTGACATGATCTAACTTACTTTTTTTTTTTTTTAAGAATTTAACATTTATTTATTTATTTATCTTTTTATTTTTGTGGTGGTGCTGAGGATTGAACCCAGTGCCTCACCCATGCTAGGCAAGCACTCTAGCACTGAGTTACAACCCCAGTCTCCCAATATACATTTTAACAGGATTTATCTGGCTTTTCTATAGAGAACAGAATGTAGGAGGAAGAGGATAGATAGCAGAAGCCCAGTCAGGAGGAATTGCAATAATCCAAACAAGAAGTGGTGATGGCTTTGTCCAAGTTGATAGCAGTGGATATATTTAGAAAATAGATCCAAGAAAATCTGAGGCTTTGGGTCTGAGTAATTAGGAGTATATAATTGTCATTTATTGAGAGTAGAAAGATTCAGGATGTTTTAGGTTTGGGGATATAAAATCAAAAATTTTGTTTTGGGGCATTTAAATTTGAGATACCATTAGACAATTCAATTAGGCAGATGAGTAAATGAGTGTAGGATTCGGGGAAGAGATGGAGGTTGCATGTATAGATTTGGGAGTCATCAGCAAAGAGATGGTAGGAAACACCACAGGACAGAAGGAAATCATCCCAGGATTAAGTCTAGTTAGAAAAGAGATCAAAAGGAGATAGCCTTGGTGCCCTGAAATGTTTAGACAGTTTCTAAAGGAAGAGGAAGATCCAATAAAAGAGACTTAAGAGCTGCCAGTGAGTTAGGAGGGGATAATAAGAGTTTTCAATAAGTCCAACAGAAAATGTGTTTCAAGAGGGATCAACAGTCAATCCTGTTAAAAACTGCTGAGTGGACTAAGGTCTGAAAATGGATCACTGGATCAAACTGTCAGAGATCTTGTTAAAGACTGCTTAGAGTGGGCCTTAGACAGAAAGCCAGAAGAGAAAGTGGAACTACAAAATATGGAAAACTGCCGTGAAGAGTTTTATTTGCAAAGAAAAGCAGAGGCATTAGGTAATAGCTGCAGGGGGCAAGCTATTTGTTTGCTTTAATGATGAGTTCATAGTATTTTGTATGTACACATGTCTCCTTTCCACTTCTTCCACTCTGTTGACAGCCACCACGTGAATTTAAACATGGTCACATTTTTCCTGGTTTAATTACAACAGGCTCCTAGTTGGTCAGTCTCTTCAATTCCAGCCTTTCTCTTCTCTGCCCTCCAATCCACAGTACCTGGATATCTATAGCCTTACCATCCTGTCTCTGCTTCAGAACTTGCCAAACTTTCCTACTGTCCTTCATTCTTTGTCTGCCTCACCATGGAGGAAAACAGAACCTTTGATGCCATCCCAAGAACTCTGAATTAATGTATTTTTGTAAGTAATAATGAACCAAATAAGAAATCTAGCCAATGAAGTAAGACTTGAGGTGTAAAAATGATCACTTAGGTGGTATAATAGAGCAGTTAGGAAGAAACAGTAATATTCCAGGTGAGGAATGACCAGCATTGCAATTATTAACATCACTCATTTTCCCATCTCATATTTTTTATAGTCTTACATAGTTGTATCTCACTTTCTTAAGATTTTTAACGGCATTATTGAGCATAATTAGATCTTGAATTGAATGACTCTATGTGATCTATAGGATCATTGTCAATCCATTTCTATTACTTAAAAAGAGCTCTCAAACTATCATGGAAGTTGCTAAATTTTATGGCAATTGTCTATAAAAATACATAAGCCTATTCTATACCTACCATTTTGTCTGAGTGCTTATGTCCTTGACAAAGGGGATTACTTGCATGCCAATATCTTTCTCGAGTTTTTTAAGGGTGAAGTTTTTATCTGGGTAGGCTGTACAGTCAATGTAGGCATCTTTTGTACTGGAAGCATTCTGGTCACTGAATGTAACTGGCGCACCAAATTGATTTCGTTTTCGAGAAATCATATATATAATCTGCAACACATGCAAGCAACAAAGGTAACATAATGAAGTCCTAGGAGAAAAAAAATGGATGTATAGTAGACAGTGTTGGCATTGTTCCCAGTTCCTCTCAGCTCCCTTTGTACAATTTCCATGTGCCTGTTCAGTTTTCCATTCCCCCTGGCTACACCCACTTTGGAGGACCCTCTAGCACTGAGAACACAGGAACAGAAAGTGACCGACAGATTGCGTCTTGACCAATAAGGGACTGGTAGGAGGTATATGGAAGCCCAGTTTCTCGGCTTCTGAGGTAGAGTTTAGATTGCAGGCCCCTCTACAGGTTCAGGATGAGGCCTGGGGGACTTTTGCCTGAGATTGCTCCCTTGCAGGACTTCCTCCGTGTCTCTGTCCTGCTGCTTTTCATCTTATCTTATGGGGCACATTCATAATAGTCACTCACACACAAATCCTCCTCTCAGGAGATGCTCTGGGAAGGAATGCCATTATATTCATTCCCCAGGGCTGCGATAAGGAAGTATCACAAACAAGGTGGCTGAAAACACAGGTTTTGTTTTCTCAAGTTGTGGAAGGTGGAAGTCGCAAATCAGGGAGTTGGGAGGGTTGGTTCTTTCTGAGGGTTGATGGGAGAATCTGACCTGACTTCTGGTGTTGGCCACAATCCTTGGTGTTCCTTGGATAGTAGTTAAGATGGTTCTACTCTCTACCACCTTTTCCACGGGGTGTTCTTCTTGTTCTACATATTCTACATGTAGCCATCTTCTTATAAGGATACCAACCAAATTTGGATTAGGGATTATCCTACTCCAATGTGACCTCAACTAATTATATCTGCAATGACCCTTTTTCAAAATAGGGTCAAATTCTGAGATAACTGGGATTACAACTCCAAAGTGTCTCTTTTAGGGGGTGGGGCAGATTCAACCCATTCGCACCTAAGGAAATGGCCATTTGTCTATAAGATATTAAAAAAAGACACATCCCCATAGTACATATAACAAATTTTATAGATCCCTCAGGAATAAATGTTGTTCAGCTATAGGGAGGTAAGAACTGGAAGTTATATTTAAGCCCCTGACCTGCTTTGTAGATTCCTTCACCGATTCTTCCTCAATTTCTTTTTCACTGCCCAAAGAAACCCATGGTTTAGAGACAGGTGGTTGGTAAACATATATGTCTTCAGGAATAAGTTCTTTATTTTCTTCCTGTTCTTCTGGTAGTACTTCTGGGGGCTGGAGTAAAAGAAATAGCATTTTAAAATATATGACCAAATTTAGGTTTGCAATCACATGTATGTATTTTGCAATAAATGTTGCTTTTATGTAAGTTCATTAAGTACTTTCTGTTTGTTTTCTTTGTAGGTTTCATGATTTTGAATGATGAGAAGTAAATTAAGTCCAAAAAGGGAAGAATAAAGAATTAAAAAGAGACATTAAGAATGTAGAAAGAAGAAGGGGAAGATAGAGGAAAAGAAAAAAAGGAAGCATGATAAGAAATAGTCATTTATTACCCATCTTTATGACCACAGAATGCCACATTTGATAATAAAATGTAAAACTAATTTTATCTGATTTAAAGAAAGGTTCTTTGATAAAAGGAATGTAAGTATGAATAAAGATGATATCCCTTAAATATTAGCAATGAATTTTTTAAAAACCAAGATGTTCACTGCTGTTTTATTTGTAATACTGGAGGAACTAGCAACCAAATGAATATCACTAGGGAAATGGATCAATGACAGTGTGGTATCATTGTAAAGTAAAACCCCATAAAGCAATTAAAATGAACAAACACAATCAACATATATACGACATCCAAATGTATCATATTTATAGATTCTAGAATTTTACTATTCTGAAAAAAACTGCAGAATGCTTTATATAAAATGACATAATCTTCATGATAAATTTTAAATTAATTAAACAACAAAACACATTATTTACAGAGGATACATATATGATAAAGGTATAAAATCATGGGCACAAATATTATAAAACAACCTTAGAACAATGGTTCCTTATAGAGAGGAGTGAAGAAAATGAAATTAGGGACGATATCAAAAGGAGTGAAACATTATTTTTATTTTATTTCATTAAAAATTTTTTTGAAGTAAATATAAAATATTCATTTTGTGTGGTGATTTTATAGATATTTGTTATACCACTCTTTTCTATACATTTAAACTATTTCACAATAATAATATGAAAGCAGAGAAAACAATGATAAAAATAAAATTTAAAGTATTAAGGCAAAATGAAAGATTAGTTTTAAATTAGAAACTATCAGGTATTTAAAATTCTGGGACTTTCCCCTATTTTTTCTTCTTATTGGACAACCATGCAAATCTGTGTGTCTCTCTCAAACAATCTGACCAACCTTTCCAAATAATTCTACTCAAATTATGAATCTCTTGCTGAGTGCAGAGGCGCACTCCTGTAGTTCTAGTGGTTCTGGAGGCAGAGGCAAGAGAATCTTGAGTTCAAAGCCAGCCTCAGCAAAAAGCGAGGTGCTAAGCAACTCAGTGAGACCCCATCTCTAAATAAAATACAAAATAGGGCTAGAGATGTGGCTCAGTGGTCGAGTGTCCCTGAGTTCAATTCCCGGGATTCCTCATCCAACAAATTATGAATCTCACAAATCTGTTACCTTTCTTGCCTACCTTCAGCAAAGGGCTTTACCTGTATTAGTCCATCTGATTCAAATGGGTACTATTGGTGCCACTGTTATAGATTTGAGATTAATAACTTACCCAAGGTCATGATAATGGGTGTGACTGGAAAAAAAGGATCATGGACCAGGGAGAGACACTCCCAGGAGACCAGTGGTGCTCCAGATAACCTGGTTTTCTCTCTTGCTGGGTTAATGAAAGGCAAGCAGGAAGAGTGCCTACCACCCAGAGACATCTGATTCTGTTCACCCTCCATTTACTGCTCACCTGTTCTAGGCACCTGAATCTGATCTGGGTCCCAGGGAAACTGAGCTGAACAGGAATAATCAGAATACATATAGGGATCCCCCAGAGGTACAGCTTCCTTCCAACAACTGACAAATCATATGGGCTTGGGATCTGCTTACATTTAAATAGTTTTCCTTGCCCTCTTCGGTGCCAATAAGATAAAAGTTGAGTCCATATTTGAAGTCTTTGTCATAAACAAGCAGAAGCTCATCTCCAGGATATGCCTGTAAGAATATAATCAAAAGAGAAGATTAATGTTTAATGGTTTATTCAGACGCTGACACAATATTGATTTTTCTTTAATCAGTCCATAAAAGATAGCCATAGTACTAGTCTGTGACTGATAACCCCAGACCACAAAATTATTTGCTTAACTTAAAGCTCTTAATAAACACAAAATGTCCAGGGATATTTATCAATACAACTTTATTTCCAACAGGAAGAGAGAAGCATTACTTTTATTTGGTGTGCTCTATAGCATGTTTGGAGACAAATCATGAGCAAAATTATGAATTAAACAAAGCAATATGAGAAAATAAGAGGTAAATTTCTATTCAAGGTAAAACTGGGCAAGGATGAGCTTTACTGGGTGCAGGATAAGACAACTAACCTGAACTGTTGGAGCTTTGCTTTTCACAGAAGATAATCAAGCAGGATTTCCAAGGAGATGTGGGCAGGCTAGTGTTTGTTCAGGGTAAGGGGGGCTGCCAGATTTGAAATTAACAACCTCTCAAACTTATGTTATATGTTCCCGGTACATAATAACACACTGTGCACCATAATGAGGTAGGATAGAAAACAAAGGGGGATATTGTACTTACTTGGACAATTTTTTTGACTGGGTGGAAATCAGATACTGCGTCTCTGTTGTGCAAATCTTCAAAAATAGCTTCTTTTTTGATAAGCTTATAAGGTACTTCATCTGTGATATCTTCATCTATTCGGCAGTTGAATATTTCCTGGGTCTTGGTAGTTAACACTATAGGATAAATTTCAGGATGACCTAGGAGAGATAAAGTGAATTTGGACATTATTTATAACTACTTCAAATATTGGCAATGGGAATATGCAATTGTTTGCTTTTAATAAATTTCTTGGTTAAAATTTAAAACTTCAAATTTATTGTTATTATATTCAAAGTAAATACATCCATTATAAAAAGATGTTGAGCAAAACAAAAAGGAAGAAAATAACAATGGCCCATAATCATACCCTTCAAGAAAGAACTTCTATTAATATTTCTTTTAGTCACCCCATATATACCTTATATGAAATTCTGGATCCTGCTTTTAATACTTACTATTATGTCACAAGTATTTTACTGACATTAACTAATCCTTCAAAAACCATCATCTTAATTTAATTCTGTAGCATAATTTTAAACCCTTATTGGTAAACATTCTAAAATTGTCCCATTTGTTTCCAATTATTGTAAATAACCCTATAAATAAATATCTAGCTCATAAATTTTATTGCATTTCAAATATTTTCTTGGGATAGATTTTAAAAGTGAAAGTATTGGTTCAAAGATCTGATCATCTTTTCAGGCTCTTTCAAGCCTCTATTGCTTTTTTAAACACCTCCAGGCACCTGCCTGGGCTGTGGCTTTCTGTCTCTAGGTGATGGCTTTCCATTTCACTCAGAAAACAGGATCTGTATAGCACAGAATCCTGCTCAACAGCTGATCAGCACAGGTGCCACAGTCTCACCCTTTGCTCAAAGCAAAAGACCTGCCCACCCCTCAACCCTCGTTAGCCAGGGTCCCACCAACTATTCCTCTCCCTTCAACTTGTCTATGCCTAAGCTGTTTTCCCTCAGCACACTTATTTGCTCAATGACTTCCCTTTAAAACAAAACAAAACAAACACACACACACACACACACACACACACAAAGAAAAACCCCTTCCCTTGACCCAATATAGTGACTCTGCTCTTTAGGGCTTCTTCTTTTCACAGTCTAATTTCTTCATGTTTTTCAATTATTGACTTCTCAGTTAAGTTGTATCATGAAACCCTTGGACATTGGAAGGAAAGCGGGTAGGGAATCCCTGTTTCCCCTCTGGTTCACCAGTTCCAGGGTTGCTCTCCAAGGAGGAGGGAGGAGGATGGAGAAGCTTCCATTCCTGGTCTCTGGTGCCTCCCTCCCGCCCCAGACCTGTCCTCAGTAGCCACATGCCCTGGGACAGAGGATGCAAGAGGACAAGGGAGCATTTTGACTGTTGCCATCCACTCATTTAAACTTTCTTCCCATTTTCTTATCCTTTGTCTCACCATCAGCTTCTGCCAAACACTCTAGGCTCTGCATCTGCCCCCAGAACTTTCTCTCTCACATCTGTACTCCTGGGGTCCCAGGCCCACTGTCATCTTTTCCAACTCCCATATACCTGCATATCTCAGCATCCTCCTTCCAGCTGCTCAGCAAAGGCACCAGTGAGGGGAGGAGTGTATGTGTCCTCACGTTGGAATTCTGAGCTTATTTTCCTGTAGAAACATTTTCCACTACCCAAGTGGTTCTATGGTACAATTATTCAGGATATTTTGGGGTTTTGAATGACTGCACACATAACACTGACTATATGTGGAAATATATTCTAAATTGCAATCAGTTGGTATAACAAACATTTGAAATTCAGTAAATAATGAATTAGGGACAAATACCCATTTTTATCTCTCTCAAAATACTAACCATAACACTTGACATATGCAAGATGCTCAATAAATAATTGTTGGCTTGAATTACATATGGGTAAGCCTTTGAAAACATATTGTGGACAGTGATTTGTATAGTGTTGAATACATAGTAAAAATTCTGAAGTTTTGTCATGAAAAACCATACAGTGACACAGCCACATTAATGTGTATAGCAGCACAATTCACAATAGCTAAATTCTGGAACCAACTCGATGCTCTTCAATAAGTGAATGGATAAAGAAATTGTGGTATATATACACAATGGAATATTAGCTTAAAAGAGAATAAAATCATGGCATTTTAAGATAAATTGATGGAGAATATCATGCTAAGTAAGCCAATCCCCAAAAAATCAAAGGCCGAATATTTTCTCTGGTAAGTGGATGCTGATCCATAATGGGAGGTGGGGAGCAGAGACCACTGGAGGAATGGAGGAACTTTAGATAGGGCAAAGGGGAGGGAGTGGAAGGGAGACGGTATGGTGGAATGAGATTGATATCATTACCCTAGGTACATGTATGATGACTTAAATGGTATGACTCTACTTTGTGTACAACCAGAGAAATGAAAAATTGTGCTCCATTTGTGTACTATGAATCAAAATGCATTCTGCTGCCATATATAACTAATCAGAACAAATAAATAAATTAAAAAAAAACATATTGAGAGAATTCATTTAAGCAACCCATGTATATTTTATACAATTCATCTGCACTTTGGTTTAAAATTTCTTTTTAACATATTGGTTGTTAGTTAGCTTTTAAAAATAGGACTAGGTAGATCCTTGAAGCTCTCTTTGCATTAGGGTAAGACACAGGTAGTCAGACCAGAAAACTGCCTGCCATCCAAGAAACTGGAAAGACAGTGACAAAGATTGTGTACTATGCTACCTTCCCAGCCTAAACAAAATTTTCAAATTCTACTAGCTTGATATTTTTCACAAAGCTATCCTATTGCAAGAATTAGGCATTCTTAAGGTGACTTTAATATAGGATCTAATAACATTCCTTTATCTATAAGTTTATAAACCTTAGAGACTGTTTCTAGCCGGAGTTGGCAATTAATCAGACAAAAGGCAGCCACTAGACTACAAAAAACCCTCTTCAGGCTGGTATATTCATGCCCATCAGAATAATCTCCAAACTGAAGAGAGCAAGGCTGGATGCTTTTGGCCACCCCAAAGGGTCTGGGGATAAATTCAAGACAAGAACAGTTCTTGTTTATGCTTTGAGGCACACATAGAGGGACAGTAAGTATCTCAGGTTACAGCAATGGGGCTAAGGTGATCAGCACTGAGATGGGCCCAATTGGGCCTCCAGCATATGGGATATTAGTTGCTGGAAGATGTTGGGGCAGAGGAGGAGGCCTTGAGGCCTCCTGAAGCTGACGGAGGTCAAGAGTGCCTGACACAGGGCTGTACCTGCTGGGAGGGTGCAGGCTAGTACAGGCCTCAGGCCTAACAATGTAACAACCATTCTTTTATTGGAGCATCTGTGCCTGGTGCAGTTCTAAACACTTTGTATGCATTACAAACTTATTTAGTATTCATTCTGAAGTGGTTACAAAAGCTGTCTCTTTTTTTTTTTTTTTTTTTTAAACCGAGGAACTGAAGCCCACAGAGTCTGAGAAACCTTTGCAAGGTCAGCCACTGAGAGTTGGACGCTGCGGAGCTGCCATCAAAACTAGAATCCTGCTCCCCCACATAGTCAGGGAGGGCACAGAGAGGAGGCTCCATAGGACACAGTGAAGCGCAGATATTCACCTAGCAACCTGATAGAGCAGGATCTAAGACAGACTTGAGCTCTACATAATTCATGCCTCAGACTCTTGCTGTGTACACAAGCCAGGGCCGTGCGAGTTAAAGCATAGGTTATACATGTATTGTCTTACGTATTGAAAGAGTTCATTTAAATGAACCTATTCATTTTATATACTTCACCTGTGCCCTTTCCCCCCTCATTTTGGTTGTTATCTAGCTTTTTAAAAATAGCTTTACTGAAGTCTAATTGACAAACAATAAACTGCATATATCTGAATGTACTATTTGATAAATATATGAATTTGATAAATATATATAAGCCCCAAATGTTTCCTCCTACCCCTTCCTCCCTGCACTCCTCCATCATCCCCAAGCAACCGACCACTGACATGCTTTTTTTACTTGAAATATTTATACATGGAATTACACAGTGTGTACTCTTTGTCTTCTTTTAGAAGCATAATTATTTTGAGATTCATCCATGCTATTTGCTGCATGTAGCAATGATTCATTCTTTGTTTTGTTGCTAACTGGTATTCCACAAAAGAAAATAATCAAGATTTTAAAGAGATTTTCTTAAATTCCTAGCATTTTTTAAAATAACTAATAATTTTAGGTATTATCTATAGGAAATCCTTGCCTAAATTCAGATCACACATATTTTCTTCTAAAGGTTTTATAATATTTGGTTGTACATTTAGGCCTATGGTCCATTCGAGTTAATTGCATATGATGTGAGGTATGGATTGAAACTTATTTATTTTTGCATAAAGACATCCAATTGTTCCAGTATCATTTGTTGAAAAGACTATCTTTTCTCCACCCAATTGCCTTTGCACTTTTGTTGGAAATAAGTTGAACACATCTATGTGGGTGGGTCTATTTTTGGACACTATTCTCATCCATTGATCTTTATTATCTTTCCTATGGTGATAAGAGTTGTGTGAACTTATTTTGTTATAGCCCCATGTGAGGAAATGTATCTCCTATTTTAATTTCTACAAAAATCTCATGAGGTAGACATCCTACCTCATTTTTCAGATGAGGATGCAGAGAGACTCAGGGAGGTGAAGTTATTTAGGACTATATAGTCATTAAGTGGAGGAATCATGATTTGAATCAGATCTGTCTGGTCCCAAAGGCTGTGCAATTAACCACTTATAGTAAACAGAATAATGTCCCTCCAAAGTTGTCTGCGTCCTTTTGGGGACCTTTTGGGTTGCATTGTCATGCATTTTATTGGTGATAATGCTGAAGTGCAGTCTAGTGTTCCTAAGTGCAAGAAATCTGATATGCCTAATGGAGAAAATACGTGTTAGATAAGCTTCATTCAGGCATGAGTTACAGTATTACTGGTCACATGTTAAATGTTAATGCATTAATGATATATATACAATTTCAAATATTAAATGAGGAATCTTTAAACAGAAACACACTTAAAACAAGGTTGTGTATTGACTAGTTGATAAAAATGTAAACAGAGGCTTGAAGGAATATAATTCTGTATTTCTCCTAGAAACAACATTTGATATTGGATAAGTCATTATTGAAACAATTTTATAGAATTTTCATGAATAAAGAGTATTATTTTTGGATTTGGAATGTTCCCCAAAGTCCTATGTGTTAAGACTTAGTCCCCAGGTTGGTACTAATGGGAGATGGTGGAAATTTCAAAAGGTGGAGACTAGTAAGAGGTTTTTAGGCCATTGGGGGCATGCCCTTGAAAGGGACTGTGGGACCTGGGTCCCTTCCTTTTTTTCTCTTTCACCTCCTGGCCATGAGGTAAGCAAGCCGTTTGTTTTGCCATATGTTCTTGTTATGATGTGCCACTGCAAGCCCAAACCAACAAGGCTAACTAACTAGTCAAAACTGTGAGACAAAGCATACATTTCTCTTTATAAGTTGATTATGTCCATTGTTTGTAATAGTGACAGAGAGCTGACAAACACGTCTGTACTTTAACTTGACAGTTACACATGCTATGAAGAAAAGGCCTCTTAAGATGGGATTGGAGTCTAGATCTCAGTGATAAAAGATAAGATAGGTGCATAGAAATGTGAGAGCTATTTCCCTATCCTATATAACCAAAAGCCAAATCTTCATCTAAGTCAAATCTGAAAGTGAGGTTTCTCCTCTACTTCCCTGAAAAAGTCCTGTTGGTATAAAATTATTTTACCCTTAAAAGAAAGAATGTCATTAGTTTTGTTGTTTAAGTTCTAGTTCATTTCCTTGAAAGCCAACCCCTTTCCTTGAAATAGTGGAATCTATGAAGGAAAGACAAATAATGCTTATGAACCAGACTTTGAAAAATACTATTTTGATAAAAGTTATAATAGGCAGACTTAAATACTTCATAATTACAAAAGATCTTTCAATAATTACAAAATATATTTTTAAAGGTCTTCTTGGTCCAACTCTATTTCTTAGTTTGAAATTCTGTTTTCATCTCTTATTTTTTTATTCTTTATTTTTTTCATTTTATATTCTAAATCACATGGTATAATGGTAGCCTTTGGACATTTTGATGGATCAGTTCATATGTAATAAATATTCTTTTAAAGACATCTTTTAAAAAATTGTTTATTTATATATGACAGTGGAATGCATTACAATTCTTTTTTTTATTTTTATTTTTTATTTTTTTTTAATTTTTTATTTATTTTTTATTTATTTTTATTTATTTTTATTTTTTTTTAATTTTTTTTTTACAATTCTTATTACACATATAGAGAACAATTTTTTCATATATCTGTTTGTATACACAGTATATTCACACCAATTCATGTCTTCATACTTGTACTTTGGATAATAATGATCATCACATTCCACCATCATTAATAACCCCATGCCCCCTCCCTTCCCCTCTCACCCCTCTGCCATATTTAAAGTTCGTCTATTCCTCCCATGCTCCCGCTCCCTATCGCACTATGAATCAGTCTCCTTATACCAAAGAAAACATTCGGTGTTTTTTTTGTTTGTTTTTTTTGGGGATTGGCTAACTTCACTTAGCATTATCTTCTCTAACTCCACCCATTTTAAAAATGTCTTTAATTAATTTACTTTTATGTGGGTCTGAGGATTGAACCTAGTACCTCAAACATGCTAGGTAAAATCTCTCCCGCTGAGCCATAACCCCAGCCCCAATATATAATATTTGTGCTTGCTTATTGCATATTAAAATATTATAAAACTGGGACATAAATACTAAATTATATTTCTACTTACCCATGCTCTCCATATTTAATGGTTCCTCTTCTTCAGTATCTAGAATATAATAAAATGATATCATATGTACATTTTTCAATCAAGTAAATATCTTAGTTTATTGTAACCTTTTGCCAAACGGTATAACTTAGAGCATAATTACAAGTATACAATGAAGACTTAAACTGTCTTATGAATAATTATAGAAAAATCTGAGTAATTGCTTTTCTCGAAGTTATTGCTTAGTGATACACTTTCTACAGCATTCATCGTATGTATGGTATTTAATTGATAGTGAAACAAAATGAATCCAAAGTAAAAATTAATCCCCAAATATTGAAATCTGCATGTGTTTTTGACTTTATGGCAGCAAAAATATTTCATTTTGCTTGATACATGAAAACAATCATTTTGGCTGCTAATATATGTAGAAGAAACACAAATCCCCTTTGAATGAAAAATAATCTTACCAGGTAATGGTTTATGTTTTTTTTTACCACGTTTCCCACCACCTGGGCTCTTTCCTCTTTGAGCTTTTGGAGCCATGGTTCTGATGTAGGCTGCTGAAAGAGAGATTATCATTAGTAAATTCTAGCTTACGATTTCAAATATCATTTTGTGAACATAATAATATGTTTTCTAAACTTTGCCCTGGACTAAATCAACATGTATTTTCAGTGGAGTAGATGTTCTGTGACCAATGGTTTATTGTGAAAACAATCTTGCTGATAATATCTTGTTCCAATGGAGCCATTCAGCTGAAGCACAAGATGGTGACCTGCCAAAATTTCAAAGTTTCCGCAGAGGCCCTGCCATGGAAGTGCAACAGAGGGCACTGGATCCCCTGCTTCTCACTACTGTTTCCACCCCAGGTGATTGATCTCTGCTGCCTTGTGCTGGGATCCAGCACAGGTGCCCCAGCTACAAAGATGAGCTTAAAGTCTGCTGGGAAGGACAGGCCCACAATGTGCATATATGTACATAATTGTTAAATAAACAGTTTAAGTTGTACATTGGCCTTAGCATGTGAGCATATAACCACTAAGGTCTCATTTATGCTGTCAGAGGCTGCCTCTGGATGTTTTCCGTGGAGTTGCTTATCGGTTTTGACAAGATATAACACTAATTAAGGTCATTACCATCACATCAAATCCCCATGTTCTCCAAGATGCCTGCTTTGCCCATTCCTATTTAATGGTTAGGAGTGTGATTTCAGGAGTTTAGCCAGCAGTATTTAAAAACAGGCTCTACTTTTAACCAGCTGAGTAACTCTAGGCAAATTACTTAACTTCTCAGTTTATATTCATCTCTTCAATGGTAAAAACAATGACCTTCCTCACAGGGAGTCCGTGAAGACTTAAGATTAATCAAAAATCTCATCATCTTCAACTCAGTTATCTCAGAATGGTTTGTTTCATTTTAACAAATCAACACAGTTTGACTATTACCTCATAACCTATGATCAAAGAAAATCACAAGTCATTTTTTTAAAACCTAGTTTCCGGATTACAAAAATCTTGACCCAAAATATGGGTGCTTATAAATATCTTTATCTTCAGATTTTTGCCCAATACGCTTTTCAAATGGTAATAATGATAGCTTGTGGTTGTGGAGCACTTACTACGTGCAAGGCATGCTTTTAAGCAATTCATGGGTACTTTTAACTTAATCTTAACCTTATTTTATTATTACTGCTATCTTTATCTCCACTTTATGATGAGAAAAGAGGCCCTGAGAGGTTCAATGACTTTGCTGAGGGGACACAGAGAGCAGTGGGCAGTGGGTCAGGCTGTGAGCCCTTACAGTACAGCTATAGGGCCGCGCTCTCTCTGTAATAAATTGTCCCTCAGACTGGAAACCGTTTTTTACGTTTCATTACAAATGAAACTATTTGTTGGGTACAGTGGCACACACCCATAATCCCAGTGACTCAGGAGGCTGAGGCAGGAGGATGGCATGTTTTAGGGCAGCCTCATCAACTTAGAAAGACTGTCTCAAAAGAAAAAAAGGACTGAAGATGTAGCTCAGTGGCAGACCTTGGTTCAGTCTTCAGTACTACAAAATAAAACAAAAACAAATGAAATTATTTAAAATCATTGTCTTCATATAGAAAGGCACAATGTATGATTTAATCATCACTATATTATTATGATGTAGAAATCTGAATTTTTAAATATTTTTCAAAAAAAAAAAAAAAAGCTCAGCTTCAACTTTTCAGACTAAATGTTCTCTATCCTACTTGTCAGTTTTAGCATAATTTCAGGCCTTGGACCTAGCTCTTTTTTGTAAAGATTTCTTTTCAGTGTACTTATCAATTCCTTATCTCCATTTTCTATTTCAGGAGCATTTGGCTTAAAATGCATACACAAAAAATGAACACTACCTAGCCTCATCTTGCACACCACTCACTGGCATGTGTGCATGCACACATACACATACACACACACATACACACACATACACAAACACCACCACCGTCACCACTATTCCTTCTCATATTATCTATTGACTAGGACGGACAAGGGGTTATCCTAGGTATTAGGGAAACAGCATTGGACAAAATAAGCAAAATAGGGGTAAAAAATGCTTGCCCTGATAAAGCTTGCATTTTAGGATGAGACAGAAAATGAAAAAAATAAAGGAGCACAATAGTGAGTATTTAGGTGGTGACAGTTGCTAAGAGGAAGAATAAAGTAGGAAGGGGAAAGGAAGTGCAGGAGTGGTGCAGCTATGATTTTACAATCTCTGACAGGGGAGGCCTCACTAAGTGTCACCGGAGAAAGTCCCAGAGAATGGAGGAAGCCCAAAATGCAGACATCTTGGGGAGACAGACAGAGTGTTTCTAATTCAAGGGAAAAGCAAGTATGAAGCGTTCTGAGGGCAGGAGTGCTGCCTGGCACATTTAATAAAACAGCCAGAAGGAAAGTCTTCTTTTCATTGGCACCCTGTCCTTCTGCTCAGGTTCCAGGGGCCCTTGCAAAGTATGGGGCCAACTCTGGGGATGGGAGAGGGATATTCTGCCTGCTTGCCAATAGGTAGGAATGTATGGTCCTTTTTACAGGGAAGAGAGGTAGGAGTTGGGGACAATATAATTGGGAACAATTGTATAATACACACAGGGGGCTAGGTCAGAAGCTTTAGCTTTCACTGTGAACAAGTTGTGGAGCTACTGGATGGTTTGGAGCTGAGGAGCTGCTTTACTCCACCTGACCTGCGTTTTAACTATGAGCAGGTGCGCTGTGTTAAGACTGCATCAAGGAGAGGGCTGAAGCAGGAATCCAAATGAGAGACCTTCAACAATTCGTGGAAGAGATGATCGCAGCATAGATCAGGGAGAAAGTGGGATGAACAAAAATGGTTGGGTCAGCCTGGTGGCATGTCTCTATAGTTCTAGCTACTCTGAGGGCTGAGGCAGGAAAATCTCTTTGAGGTCAGAAATTCAAGGCCAGCTTGAGACTAGGAATTTGGAGCCAGCTTGGGCAGTATAGCAAGACTCCATCTCCTAAAATAAAATCATGATTTGGATTCTAGTTGTATTATTTAGGTGGAGCTAATGAAATTTGCTGATGACTTGATATAGGGTCTGAGAGAGGAGGGGATAAAGGATGATTTTAGTGAATTTTGCCTAAGAAATTGAAGGCATGGGGTTGCTATTCATTGAAATAGGGAATATTAGGAGTTGAGGGCATGTGAAATTAGTCTCTGTAAATTGTGAAGATGGGGATTATGTCTTTATCTCCATTGGCATAACCCGTAAAACTAGCATAGTGAACATACTAGAAAAATTGTTTTAAAAAGTTGAATTAATGATTGCTTAGTTTCCTCTTCCCTTCTGCCATTTTTTGTGAGTCTCCAGTCTGGACAAAAGGTTTTTTGCCTAATGGTCCATGGAATTTCTAGTATGCATGCTGTGTTAGTTTTTTACTGCTGCCATAACAAATTATCATAATCTTGATGACTTTAAACAACACAAATTTATTTTCATACATCACTGTAGATCAGAAGTCTAAGATCTGAAGTATTAAGTTTGAATTAGGTAACAGTTTAATACCATCATTCTCTAAAATACTCAAGGTAAACAGGTGTCCATTTCTTTTCAAATGCTGCTTTTAAGTAATCTGTGTACTTTGATTGAATCTCAATTTTTGTAGAGGAACAGTTTTCCAACAGTAAATTGACAAAATTGGAAGACACATTATAAATGCCTGCTGCCTAACCAGAATAGCTCATTTACTACTTTCACAAATATTAATTAACTTCTGTCTCTAAATTATAGACTAGTGACCAAGGGTAAAGGGAGAATCAGGTTGTTCTGTAGTCTTTCAGAGGCCGTAAGCCTTTTAAATTAAAAAGCAACATGTCTTAGTTTCTAAATAGAAAATTCATTAGCTGAAATTAGACTGGTGAATATAGTCAAAACTGGAAAGAAAATAATAACTTTGGTAGTAGCTATCTTACAATGAATTTGTGTTTCAGGAAAAATCTCATAGTTTATTTTAGTAATTACAAATAATAAAAACCCCACCAATATTATATCTAGAAAACAAATCACTTTTGGTTGGAGGTACCTATAACAAATGAATAATACTGTCTGCATACTTTTAATAAGTACACTTCTTTCAGGTTTATTTTTATAAATATTTTTATTTTTTTAAAAAAAAACTCAAATAAAAAATACTGATTTTAAATTATAGTTGGGCTTACTGAAGTTTTTCATAAAAGTGCATATTTTATATACTGAGCATGCTATATAATACTTTCCAAATTTTATTTTTCCATTAAATTGATTATTAAAAGGTTATGAACACATTTTCAATATCATTTATTGCTTTACTGAGATTACTCTGAAATGTTCACATTTTTCCTGTTTCCAGCTGAAATTGATTTGTACTTACTAATAATAACAGAAGAGATATCTCATTTCATCTACTCCCTAAAGTAAAGGTTATGTCCAGGGATTTGTGTTATGATTGGTTTTCAAAGCATTAGAGCTGACTGGATTTCAACCAGAAATTGTAGAAGGTAACGCTGAGAAATGTTAAGCATTTCGTTAAAAAATATTTTCAACGTTTGAACCACTCATAGTCATTATAAATTAATCCATCCCTTCTAGAGTACTTTCTTGCTACCAAGGTACCAAGGTCACATTGTCTATCATCTAGGTTAACAGCCACAGACTTCAGAAGCTGACGAATTGGGTATTGGATGAGTCCTCCAAAAAGTGGATCAAAACCCAAGATGGTGCTCCACTGACTTCAGAGTTGTCCTTGATGTGGTTCCAAGCTGACTCTCCAGACTTGTCCATAACTATATCCTCTTGAGATGCTTCTATTATTTAGGAGGATGACTACTGCAGATGAAGGAATATGTGGTGCAAATTACAACTGACATAGCACAGTGACTTAAATAGCCGCAATTTCTTCTTTACCTTCTTTGTGTGATACACACAAGCTGTTTGCTTATGCCCATCTTTTTGCCATATTTATCTGTGGCCTGTTGCCAGCAGATCTTGATTTGAAAAGACCTGTTGCAATAGCATCTTTTCTTCATCTAGGTCCTCAGAAACTTTACCTTTCTGAGTCTTCTTCAATTAGCTGACCTTATCTAAGGTCATTAGCCTCTCATCCCAAAGTATTTATAAACTTATCATGCTTGCCTCCCATCTTTTATGTTTTTAAACAGATATTTAGAATAAAATTTGAGACTAACATCTTGGGAATTTGATAAATGTGTCTCCAAGAACTGCTTGTCTGTAAATCTCCATTAAGACCCTGATTAGTCTTCAGGGTTCTCCTGGGCCTTTCAGCTGTCTTCTGACAAGTACAAAACATGCACCCCTCGGAGATAACCTATGTTTCCTTTGTCTACTACTCTTGTTTCCTCCCCTCTGTATCTATTTTGCTTTCTTTCCAAGACTGAATATTCACTCATTTAAGCAGATGCTGTCTTAACACTTTATCCTTTGAAATGTCCTGGCACCCTTCAATACTAGGGCTCATTAAAATGTCTCCTGAATTCTCAGCCCTCCTTTTCCACAGCTTCCTCTGGTTCCTGCCTTCAACATGTCTTCCTAGTCCAAAGCTCCTTTTCTATTTTGTGCCATAAATCCCTTTGGCAGCATGGTAAAGCTCATATATCAGATAAAAATGTGAGGTTACAAGAGAGATAGTCTATATTGAAATCTAGCCATTAATATATTTTGAAAAACTATGCTTCGTTAATTCATGTGCTTCTTTATTAACACATTAAATAAGATCAAGCAGTGAGTCGAACAACCACCTTAATTTTGGAGGTTGTAATGAGCATAAATAATATATCTGTAACATCTATAATATGAAAAGAGGTATGATTTATTTTTGTGACAAAATTACAGTTCCTGCTATTACTACTGTGGTTTGTTACCAAATGAATACATTTAATTTAAGTTAGTGAAAATAAACATATAATTTTTTTATTTTATGTATATTTATTTTTTAAATTCCTTTTTTTTTGGTACTGGGTATTGAATGCAGGGGCACTTGACCACTGAGCCACATTCCCAGCCCTATTTTGTATTTTATTTAGAGGCAGGGTCTCACTGAGTTGCTTAAGTGCCTCGCTTTTGCTGAGGCTGGCTTTGAACTTGTGATCCTCCTGCCTCAGCCTCCCAAACTGCTGGGATTAAAGGTGCATGCCAAAGCATCAGTGTAGAATTTTTTTTTTTCATCCACAGAGTCCCCTTTACCCAACCCTCTAATCTAGATCATGACACTTAGCTGACCTTCCTGCCTGTGTGCTAAGTGGAACAAACATCTAAGGCCTGCCTTCAGAACTCCAGTTCCTAAAATGCAAATCTTATTTTTCAAGTCACTTTTCTGAACTGGAGCTAATTTGAAATGCAAATTTCACCCTCTGATTCGGTAGGCCTATAATGATTGTGGGACCCTGAAATTTTAAAAGCAGTACCAGGCAGTCCTGCACTGGTGGTCTGCACATCACACTTTACACCATGGGATAGAGTCCAAACTTGTACACATGTCCTTCAACACCCTTCGCAGTCTTCTCATCACACTCACCTTTTCAGTTCTTGTCCAGCCTCACAGGGTTACCATCCAATCTCAAACAGTTCTAGTACTTCCCTGCACCCCCTCACCCACTCTCTCTCTGTCTGGAGAACACCCTACCCTCCAGCCATTTCTGATCCACACCACGTGCATCCTTTAAGGTTCCACTAGGCACAATGTGACCAGTTTTCTGAAGCTACCCCGACTTTCTCTCAGACTAAAATAATCTTGTTCTCTTTAACACATTCTAATCTCACTGTATATTGTTAATTATGCCAGACCTCTGCAAAAGCCGAAGGCCTCACACTCAGAACTGCCTGAAAAATTGCTGTTTGAATTTATTTAACATTTAGCATTCACCATACACTAGGGAGGAAGGAGAGAGAATGTATTTTAGCAGAAACTCACTACTAGGTAAAATAATCCCTAGGGGAATAGGTAGGGTCCTTACTTTCAAGAAGTTTGTATCTGCATTCATCTTCCTGTTTATTTTACAGTCCTGAAGTCATCTAACTACTAAAGCCAGCATTAGTCTTTTCTTGGATCCTCCCCCACCCTGAATAACCAAGATCGTGCCATTTTTTTAATATTCATTCATTCAATGATTTATTGAATGTCTACTATGTGTCAGGCAATGTAATAGTCACTGAAGATATATAACTGTGGACAAGTCAATACCTGCTCTCAAAGTTCTCGTTAACTGCTCTTTCTTTGCCTGCTTGGCTAGGTTGGAAGCTCTCTCTGAAAGCAGTGAAAGTCTTATTTTATTATTGTTGTTGTTATTTTCATCTGTATTCTTCACCTCAGCAATGCAGAAATATTTCTGAACTCCCTTGAAAGAGTGAATAAAATAACTTTTTTTCACTCCTTTCTCGTTCAGAGCTGTCCTTACCTGTTATGGATAAACTGAAGAGAAAGAAGTCTCTTTGCCGTACTCCAGAGAAAAGCTCCTTCGAGAACTGCAGATGGGAGTTTGACTCTCCTCTCTCAGAAAAACAAATCCCAAGAGTACAAATCGCAGCTCCTTCGCCGGGTGTTGCCAGGACGCATCCGTTGCTAAGAGAGAAGAGGCGGTTCCTCTGCTGAGATTGACAAAGCATCATCACCAATACAGTGTTTGCTCTCCAACAGTTTCTTTTAGAGATGGCTTGTGATTGGTTGCTGGGTTGTGACGTCACCTAACGGAAGCGAGGGTTGTACGCAGTTTAACACTGACCGGGAGGGTTGAGCAATTTAGGTCTGTTTCTACGTCAGTGGCCAGGTCTCACAGGCTCGATCCAAGCCTCGCACCCACCAAGAATCCTCGTGGGGTGAGCTCTCTAGGATGGGGGACTAAGGGCTTATGGAAATTGCCCTTTAGGAAACCCTTGGGACAGCTGCCCTGGCAACCCCTCTCTGGCGAGCTGAAGCCTTCCTAGGAACCTGTCTTAGAATTCAGGTGTGAAGAGGAAATTGGGTTCAACCGGGTGTCATGGGCGTCCCAGAACTGTTAATATAGTTTCCTCTTGGAAAAATAAGTTTTTCATAGAGTTTGACTCGTCCTGGATGTCTGAATCTCAGGGGTGGAAACGTTTGAATCCCTGAGTAACTCTAAGGATCATTTTATCTTGTAATTATGAGACCCAAGGGATTCAGAGTGAAGCTCAAGCTCTCTGAACAGTTTCCCTCTTTTCCTTAAAAAAATTAATTATAACTGCCCTAATTTGTAAATTGGCAGAATTTAATAAAACAACGCAATTGACTTCCATAATTGGTCTGAATTAATTTTCTTACATTCGATATGAATGAAACACTGGAGAAGAGGCTATAGGCTTGTAACATAAATGACATTTAATCCTAAATAAAGATTTTACAATATACATAGAAAGATCACGTTGATTCTTTACAATTTTAGAAGAATTTGCTTGCAAAATCCAGATACATTTTACTATAGGAATCATGAAAGGAGGTGGAGGAGGAGGGGGAGGAGGAGGAAGAGGGGGAAGGAGGAGGGGGAGGAGGAGGAAGAGGGGGAAGGAGGAGGGGGGAGGAGGAGGGGAGGGGGAAGGGAGAGGGAAGGGGAGGAAGGAGGGGGAGGGGGACGGGGACGGGGAGGAAGGAGGGGGAGGGGACGGGGACGGGGAGGAAGGAGGGAGAGGAGGAGGGGAGGGGGAAGGGAGAGGGAAGGGGAGGAAGGAGGGGGAGGGGGACGGGGACGGGGAGGAGGAGGGGGACAGGGACGGGAGGAGATGATCTTGGCTGAAGTCTTATCTAAACATTGTTAACCTTTTCCTGGACTCTTCTACTCCTGATGCTGAAAGATTAACTTTCCCCTATCTCAGTCCTGAGTCGTGTTTCCTCATTCTGTGTGCTTTCCTCATTCTGTGTTGGCATCTTATTTTTCCTCTCAGTATAGAATAGCACCTTTAAATGCATCCGTGACCATCATTTCTATATTCACAGCCTAAACTTCAGACCTGAGTTTTCACTAACTATCCGACATTTCTAACTACCAGTCTAGTTTGATATTCTAGTTTGATATCCTGATATTGAATAATTGCTACATAAAGATACTGAATGAGTGAATTAATTTATTACTATGCTGTACGTACCACAATGTAGTCAAAGCCAATCCATTATCTTTCAGATATCTTTCAGAAATCTTTCAGAAACATTTTTCCTTTTTTATTTCCTGAGGTAAGAGCATCACTGTCTATCAGTGATAGTTGGCAAAATTAGAAAATTGAGTCATCCCTAACTTGCCTTCTATTGCTCACAATCAACACATTACTAAATCCTATAACTTTTCTTTTGCAAATCTCTCTCTAATAATCCATCTCCTCTTAACCATCTTCTACGTCTCCCTTATTTCAGGTATGACTTATCTACCATCTAATGTCTAGAATTGTCCTATCTTCTCCTGTCTCATTTATTTGCCAAGTTGCCATGAAATGTTCTAAACCAGGGATTCAATGCTGAGCCTGCTTAAATATCCTCAACCTGGCATATGAAGTGCTATGCAGAGTTCTGAATGATACATTTAAAAACAGGTAGTTAGACTTTTCTCTCTTCCTTCCTCTCTTCCCAGTGCAACCCATTTAGTCCAGTGCTTCTCAACTGAAGACCCCTAAGAGCTGAAAGGCATGAAAAGAGGGATTATGGGTTAGTAGTAGGCTGATGAGGGGTTATAAATTGAAATAGATTTCTGCAACTGATATATTAGTTTTATATAAAGAATTCATGAGGTTTTTACATTCTGCTTCACAAGGTATTCATGTTTATTTATTTTTGGGGGGATGGTGCTGGGGATTGAACCTAGGGCCTTGTGCATGCTAGGCTAGCACTCTACCAACTGAGCTATATCCCCATCCCTCATGTTTAATTTTTAAAAATGTATAAAACCACTATTAGCTAGAATTGATATTAAATTGGATAAACACAAATTATTGCAAGGCAACTGTGACATACTTATCCCATTCTTTTCCACAGCTCCTGATGTACTACTGGACAAACCCTGGAGTGGTGTGTTCCAGGGTGGGAGCCAGGGCCTTAGTTATACAGGGCTCTTGATAGCTCCCCCAAAATGCCATTCCCTTTCACAAACATCTGCTCATCCCTTTATTTCTGTCCAGCTCTACCTCCACCCATATGCCTTTCCTTGTCTTCATTACTTGATAAACTCCTTTTTAATTTTCAAAACTCAAACATCACATTCTCTGTAAAGCTGTTTCACCTTTTCCTCTGTTTATCAATTAGAGTAAGTATTACCTTGTGCTGCAATGGCTTGTTTATATGGGTGTCTCCCTTTAAAAATATTAGGGGTGGCAAAGTGTTTCATTCTTTTATATTTGCACTGCCAAAAGTAGCATCTGATATATTTGGTAAAATATGCTTAGTTATTTAATTGGCTGTTCTTGAAAACAGACCTAGAAGGAGCTAATCAAAGCCTCTTTGTATTCTTCTAAAGAATTTGTCTTGAAAAATAGTCATAATTCACTGAAGTCAGATATAAGGAAGTGAGAAGTATAACCTTGTGATTTAGATGAGACACCAAGCACTTCTGTCATCTTTTCTTTAGAGATATCCCAAGGGGATGTATGTTTGGGGGAATGAGTCATAAGCCACATGTCAAGAAAGTTAGAAATTAAATGGAAAATGTTTAGAAATTTCTTCATGTTACAAATGCATGATTGACTGACCGTCCGTTCTTTCATGGGAACTTTCAGAAATGAAACTTTCAGAAATGAAACTGCACTATGGTCACAGTGAATGCTTCCATCCAGGGGATGCTGATTTAAATTCGCCTGAAACATAAAAATAAAACATAAAACTTAGTTTTGGGACTGGGGATGTGGCTCAAGCGGTAGCGTGCTTGCCTGACATGCACGGGGTGCTGGGTTCCATCCTCTGCACCACATAAAAATAAAATAAAGATGTTGTGTCCACCGAAAACTAAAAAAATAAATATTAAAAAATTCTCTCTCTCTCTCTCAAAAAATATTTTAAAATTTATTCTTAATTTTATTAATTGAATGGAGGTTGAATGAGTCAAGAAGTCAGGACTGAAAATACTTTTTTGATAACTTAGGGACATTTAGATAAATTTCAGATTGGGTTTATGGAAGATGATCTGACAACTTAGATCTGAGGCGGATTTCTACTAATTATATGTATTTTAAAAGAATTAGCACAGAAACTAGGGATGGAAAACCCCGTTTTGGAACCTTAATAAGTTTTGTTTCTCTGCACCAATATGCCTGGAGGGAGAAAAGGTGAGAAAGATGGAAATGTAATTGTTTGAATCCTAAACTAATGGAATGACCACATGTTTTCAAAATGCTTGGAGAAATATCACAGTCTAGTGCATGAGGAACCAAGGAGCATCTGAGAAGAATGCTCAGCTATAGAAATGAGAAAACCAAACAGAATGGTCTGACCTGGGAACAAAGCTTAAGCTGTTGGAGAAAGGGACCAATTGTGGCATTTCTAGAGAGAGGAAAAATAAAAAAAAAAGAACTCCAATGAGAAATTAGAAAATGTTCAACACTAAAGTGAGGAAAAAGGCAATCTTGCTACTTATGCAGAGAATGGCTTAAGTGTACTGAAACTAAGGAGTACAGGCCTGGATGACTCCAGAATTTCTGACCCTTCCCACAAGGGAATCTCTGCAGACCATTTGAAGCACACATCTCCAGTGGGGCAGTTCAAAAGCTGAGGAAGAAAAACATGGGGCTGTGTGGTAGCAGAGTGGACTTCTCTGTGAGTGTAGGTGAATCTCCCTAAACCCAGAAAGAGTTGGTGATGGGGGACCTGCTGTATGGCAGTGATAGTGCTACAATATCAGCAGGCACAGACAGCCAGTGAATACCAATTCCACATGCTTAGTGATTCTTACCACCAGGGATGGACACACACACACACACACACACACAATAATACTGGATTTAAAATGGGAAAATAGTGTTGAAGACTAAATCTGTCACTTTTTAGATAAGCAGCATCATATAAACTATTTTTTAAATTTATTTATTTATTTATTTTTTTAGTTTTCGGTGGACACACATCTTTATTTTATTTTTATGTGGTGCTGAGGATCGAATCCAGTGCCCCACACATGCCAGGCGAGCATGTTACCGCTTGAGCCACATTCCCAGCCCTAAACTATTAAATTCTTTAAATCTCAGTTTTATATCTGAAAAATTTGGGATCATGATGCTCTCCTCAGAGCAAGACAGATAAAGGGTGGGAGCAAGCACATTGTTGCCATAGGGGAATTCTTCAAAAGGTCATTTTTGAAATGAATTGCAAATAGTTCAGGTTTCTGTAGGGAACTCTCATTTGCTGGGAAATAGAAGAATTGATTCTTCTCTCAACCCAGCTTCAGATTTGAAATAAAATCTGTGGTGAATATTTTTGTCATGTGAGGTTCCAAGTCATAAGGTGCAATTAAAAAGCAATACTCCCATCCCGGAGTCTGCCCAGTTTTCATAGCCAAATGTTGAACGGTTCAGTATGCTCCCTCAAAGTTGTATAGTTTAGAAAATTGTGTTTAATA